GTTGCATCCTCTCTTGTGAACACCAAGGAAAAGAAGCAGTTCAATGCCTCAGCTTTATCCTGGTCAGAATCTGCGTAACTACCATCCACCAGCCTCAGGTCTGATACTCCTACTCGCGTTTTCAATTTCGACTTTGCGTAGCGGTAAAACGCCTTTGGGTTTGACTTGACCTCGCTTGCAACCAGCCTCTGGAACTCCTTTTCAGCCCTCCTACACTCTATCTTTGCTTGGTTTCTGGCTCTTGCATACATCCTCCTGTCTTGCTCATCGCTTGACCCAACCCACGTCTTGAATTTCTGGGTTTTCTTCTTAATTTTGTCGACCGCCGCATGGTTCATGTGTAGGGATCCCCTCGTATTCCTAGAAGCACTGGGTTTGGTCTTGGGTATATATTTATCGATCAAATGGGTCATTTTACTAGTTATGATATTCAGCGTAGTGTCTGCGTTCTTGTACCTTAATAAATCAGGCCAGTTGATACCCCTCATTTCTTCCCTCATCCCATTGTAATTTCCCTTGTAATATTTGCACCTTGGCCTGGCCTTATCCTGAACTAGGTAACAGTTAAATCTGAATGACAACACTGTATGGTGACTGGTGCCAACTGGGGCAAGGTGTTCCAGTTTGACCACCATACCCTCCTCGTTTGTTATGATGAGGTCAAGTGGCTTGGATGTTTGCTCCCCTCTGTAATGTGTCGGGTCTCTAACATGTTGGAACAGAAAATTATCTCTCAAGAATTTCTACAAAAAGAGTAGCAGGGTTATTCAAGTCATTCGGGGTGGACTCGTTTCTCCAGTCGATGTCGCCATGAAACAAACAAACAAACAAACAGTGGGCCCAATTCACTGCCCTGTGGTACCCCACTTGTGACAAGTACGGATGATGATTTCGTGCCATTAATCACCACACACTGCTTGTGGTCATGTAGAAAGTCTTCTGTCCACGCTAGGACATTTCCCCGAATTCCGTACCCTTCCAGTTTGATTTTCAGCCTTTCATGTGGTACACTGTCGAAAGCCTTGGCAATTGTGTTAAGCAGGAGCGCCCCGGTGTTGGCAATCCTTTACAGTACAAGGTTGTTTCGTTGTAGATTTTCCATCACGGCATCTCTTATAATACTCTCAAATACTTTACATATTATGCTGGTCAGGCTCACCGGTCTATAATTGTTCGTGGAGTGACGATCGCCCTTCTTGAAGATAGGACTCACATAAGCCATTTTCCAATCACTGGGGCCCATTTGTTCATCCAGGCATTTACAGAACAGGCTCTTCAGGGGCTCGGCAAGCTCGTTGCACAACTCTCTTAGCACTCTAGGATGCACCATGTCAAGTCCGGGACTCTTATGGACCTTTAGCTTTGACAGTTTATTTCTTATCCCCTCTTCTGTGAACACAATGTGAGTCAGTGCTGTGTCAAACCATCTGTCCTCAAACGCAAGAAGGTTAATCGCATCCTCTCTTGTGAACACCGAGGAAAAGACGCTGTTCAATGCCTCAGCTTAATCCTGGTCAGAATCTGTGTAACTACCATCTTCAAGCCTCAGGTCTGATACTTCTACTCGCGTTTTCAATTTCGACTTTGCATAGCGGTAAAATGCCATTGGGTTTGACTTGACCTCGCTTGCAACCAGCCTCTGGAACTCCTTTTCAGCCCTCCTACACTCTATCTTTGCTTGGTTTCTGGCTCTTGCATACATCCTCCTGTCCTGCTCATCATTTGACCCAACCCACGTCTTGAATTTCTGGGTTTTCTTCTTAACTCTGTCGACCGCCGCATGGTTCATGTGTAGGGATCCCCTCGTATTCTTAGAGGCACTGGGTTTGGTCTTGGGTATATATATATTTATCGATCACATGGGTCACTTTACTAGTTATGACATTCAGCATAGTGTCTGCGTTCTTGTGCCCAGATAACTCCTCCCTCAATTTCAACATTGAACATATTTGGCATAAAATGAGTTTCAACTCAATAATAATGATTCTGGGGTTATTGTGAAAGCTGATGTATATTTCAAGTGAATATTTTGTCAAAATTGGGAAATACAAGAATTAGTTGAAACTAACGAGTGTGAATGTTAATATTGTTATCAATATTCATTGTCACCCGAGTGAACTAGGCAATAAATGATTGATTTTTCCCAGAATCACACTCCTTAGTTCCTTAATGCTTTACACATGTATAAAGGCACGTGGACGAATACCAACACAGCCAATGTCGGTGGGAAGTCCAAGTTGAAGCCACCCATTTAATAGGTCATGAAGCCAAAGCTAAAACCATTTAAACTTAATGAAGACAATGCCAAAGCTATTTTAAGTCATGAAGCTGAAGCCAAGGCTTTCCAAGATCACACGAAAATTTAACACCAATGTAATATATTGTATTACCTTACATGATGATGAAAATACATATGAAATCCAAAGTGTAGCAAGACTAAGATAAGCTGACTACTTTAAGCCAATTGTTACTGGGGTAAGTTTTGTCTCCCGATGGAGTAGACTGAAAAAGGTTGCTTGAAGTAATGTATCTTTATAAATTTTATTTTAGTCATTGTTTTATTTTATTCATTATTCATAATCATTCATTTATTCATTCTTACATTTATTTTATTTATTACATAAAACAAATCATTATTGCAAAAATCTACAAAATATATGTACCATAAATAAAGTAATTTCAGTCATGAGTCACAGGGACTCATTGTAACGAATCATCCGAAGATTTTCGAAGGTGCTGTCAGTCAGCCAATAGCACCTGGGGCTAGGGAGGCAGAGGTGGTACTTGTCCAAGGTTCAGGTTAGGTCATTGTGAGAATAGACCAGGGGTCACCAAACTACAGCCTGCGGGCCGGATCCCAAGTCCTTCCCCGGCTCGTGGTAGCTCCGCCTACGTTCTGACGTTACCAGAGCTTTCGTTCTGGCTTGCAAGTATTGAACAGAATGATTATGCGGCCCGCACTCGTCATTCTTTCACTTATCCAGCCCACTGTGAAAAAAGTTTGGTGACCCCTGGAATAGACCAATAGAAGTAGGAGGGATCAGCTGTGGCATCACTTGAGCTATCTTAGGGCAGGTCATTGTGGGAATAGAAGAGGTAGGGATCAGCTCAGCTGTGACATCACAAAATGGTCATGTGTGTGTGTGTGTGTAAAAAGAAAACCCTAAGTCAAAGCAAATATCATGCCTTTGGCTTCGAAGCCGGAGTTGAAGCCGAAGCCAGATTTAGGATTCAGCCTCATGTGTGTATAGTGTATATGATCATCATAGCACAAATACTACACTTGAGCCTTTCCCAGGCAGAGTCATAAAACTCTAAGGAATGATTTCACAGGTTCTGTTGTAATGTAACATAGTAGAACCTTCCCATTCGCGGGTTTATGATTGGCGATTTCAACGATTCTCGATAAGCAGATGGTGGCTATGGTGGCTAGCTTGCAAGCTTTTTCCTGCAGCACAACGAGTCACCCCACACAGCATCTTATGTTGTACTCTCAAAACTTTAGTGTTTCTGTGTGAAATGGACCCTAAAAGACTGTCTTGTCTAGTGTCAGTGCTAGTGATGCTAGTGGAGTGAAATGTAAAAGGCAGAAGTCAGTGATGACCCTGACAAAGAAAGTTGAATTATTAGATATGTTAAAAGAGGGGATGAGTGGCGCTGCAGCTGGTCGCCATTCTTTAGAACCTATCCCTCATGAATAACAAGGGTTTACTGTACAGTAATAATAATTAATGGCTTATGAAAGAATATGGCAAACAAAAGGCGTTAATATACTATAAACAGAGATGATAAACAGGGCCGGATTCAGGAGTGGGCAGCTGCCCAGGGGCCTCCACATGTGTGGTACAGGTTGACAATCCCTTATCCGAAATCCTTGGGACCAGATGCATTTCGGTTTTTGGAATGGTTAGGGTTGTTTTTTGTTTTTTTTATACAGGGATCAGCCCACCCGGGCACAGGTCATTGACCCACATTGGGGCCTGGGGGCTAAAATATAATAATAATAATAATAATAATAATAATAATAATAATAATTCATAGGTCTAAGTCGTGTTTCTCACTTTTGATCTTTTTTTCAGTCTTGTATTTCTTTATTACTATTAGTATTTCTTTATTATTATTATTATTATTATTATTATTATTATTATTTTATTATTACAGTATTATTGTTATTATTATCATTGTTATCATTCTTATTTTATTTTTGTGTATTTTTTATTAAAATTTTCATTTACTATGAATAGTTATTATTATTACTGTATTATAATTATTATTATAATTATTATTACTATTACATTTTCACCCCCCAGGCCCCGATTTGGGTCAGTGACCTGTTAAAAAAAAAAAAAAAAAAAAAAAAAAAATTACTCCACAAAAAAACTTTCGGTCTTCAGAGCTTTTCGGTTTTTGGAATTTCGGATAAAGGGTTGTCAACCTGTAGTAGCTATATCAGGGCTGGTCGACTTGAAACCACATGAATGACTCGAGTCATGTCTCACTTTTGTGCGTGTGTGTGTAAATAATAATAATAATAATAATAAACGGTTTATTAATAGAGTTGCAGCCCGTGGCTGAAAATATACAGACTTACATTTGATTTAGACATAATGATATAATATGCAATAAATACATTTACAGGGCTGTACAGTACATAAATCAGGAGTTGTTTATTATTTTAACAATAGATGGGATGGTGCTGTTCTTATATCTATCGGTGCGGGCTCTTATGGGCTGAATTTTGTTGTAGTGGTACGGATATAATAAATAACAAAAATCAAGCACAGTTACAGTATAAAATTAAGATTGGCATAGCGCTGAACACACAGGTTAATTACGAGTTGTTGATAAGTTTTACAATGGTTGGAATTGGGCTGTTCTTATAGTTGTCACACAGTGGTGAGAAACAAACATTACTGTTGTACCACAAAATTTCTTTCCAATTTTTAAACTTCATCACAAATCAGTTTAAAAAGTAAAGAATGTGCAATAAATACAAAATGTTTAATGCAAAACATTTATTAAAGGAACTACAGTATGAAATAACTATAAACTTCTAATATTAAAGAAGGGATGTATGTATGTCCCTTCCAGATACAGCAGTATTAATCATAATAAAATAAACAAGGAAAAAATTATTGGAGTCAATAATTGGCTCAAATTTTCCAATCATTAACTTTGTTTTGTCTTTAGCATATGACACAATGAGGTTGAGTGGGGTGACTTGCCAACAATGTATAATATGTTGTATTTTCATTAATACAATCACCTACAGTAAACCTCCGACCTGTTATTAATCAATCACAATCAATTGGGTTTAATGTACCCTAAGAGGTCCAGTGAAGGTACAGTACAAAGTTTACAAGAAAATACTCTGTCGGCCACACTATACAAAAATACTAATGGCCAAAGACTAATACCCAGTCCGTAAGGTAGAAAACTGCCACAAACTTCAGGGAAGAACATTTGGCTGGCAAAACCACAGAGAACCTCCATCCTCAACTCTGTGAGCCAAAAGTCAATAAGGTACAGCACTGTAGTTCCTCTAAAAGAGTCAACATTTATTTGAAATAATCTTGCATATTAGTTTACAGTACTTATATATATTTCATATTATTTTAGTTACTAGAAGTACTGTACTGTATTCACAAACTCTTGTATTGTATTAAAATTATGGACCAAACACTACAGGTTACCAAATATCATAAAGAAAAAAGTATATAATTAAAACACAAACATCTAATACAGTGTACTGTACCTCTCTCTTTACAAAAAGCATTAAGATATTGTATTGAGTGAAAATCTTGATGTTCCACACACTCGTTACCACAAACATCATTTATGTTTAGAGTTGAATGTTGTGCAGTAAACACAGTGAGAGGAGACAGTAGTGCTCATGATGCTGGCAAAACATATACAGTAATTAATATTCTGGTGGAAACATCAGTTCAAAGTCAGCACAGTAGAGTAAACCAGTATTTTAAAGCCCCATTCTTGAACAAGTAGAATCTTGTAAGAGTTTACGAGACAGGACACTCATGTGTAACATGATCTCTGACATACAAACATGAACTACGTCTTAAGAGGCAAACCGTCAGAATTGTTTCTGCATCACAGAGAAGACGACATGGCTGCGTGACATACTTACACAAAAGCTTTATCAGCAACCTAACTGCATTCAGCCATTCATCTGTTACGATGCGGTTTTGCAAGATATTTTTCTTGGCATTCCCAAAATCATTTTTAGCCTTTGTGATCTTTATGCTGATGTGGTTGAAGTTATAAGGAGTTGCTCTCTGTCTACCTGCCACTAGCTCTGGCTCATCATAGTTTAACTGGCATTCTAAGCATTTCCTTGTTTGTAAGTTTATGGCCTTGTTACATTTAACACATTTTAGGAATAGAATTGGTGGCAATTCCTCCTGAGTTGGCCAGTTGTTTTCACAAGCTTCACAAGTGCAAGTGAAGTTAAATGCTTCTCTCAAGACCCTCCACCTTATCTTTACATTAACATTTTTCATAATTAATAAATAATTTAAAGTTATTGGAGTGCCAGCAGGGATATACTTTAATGCTCTTATAACTATTGTCTTACCATAGTAAAATGCTGCACATGTTGGATTGCAGGAGTGGTTCAAGAGACTTACTGCAGGGTAAATTCCAGTACCCAACAATTCTAATGAAACATCTTCACAGTTATCCAGGTTAATCTGGAAGAAAAGAACTCCATTACATTAAAGTTTACAGAAAAATTAAGTTATAAACATATTTACATATTCATGTTTTCTGTTACCTACAAGTGGGTGGAACATGTACAGCAGTTGTCATTTGTGATCTAGTACATCACAACACTTTTTTAAGTGTGTTCAGTCTGTGCATTAAACCAATATTTTGTTAATCAAAAGAGAAGCCAACCAGAAAATCAACCGAGGTTTAGGAGTAAGTGATCCATGTTTTATCAAATGTCAGGAACAGCAAGCAAAGCCTTTAAACGGGTGGGTTAAGGGTGCTTGTGGTGGGTTTGGGTTGCTCTTCAGGTGGGTTGGGGTGATAGTGTAAGCAGGTTTTTCAAAATGTCATGAACATCTTTCCAAATTTTGTAATGACAGCACAAATTCTGAAAATATAAAATAAACAGTGGAAAAAAGACAAGCGTCCTCTATGTTGGTATTAGGGAAAGACATTCCCTGATTTATGAAAGGGATCCATTCCTGAAAAATCTTTTGTAAGTTAGATCACAATTTCTTAAGAACACCATTATAAAAGGGTATTAGAAATAAACTGTCAAAGCTATAGGTCCATAAGAGTGCTAAGAGAGTTGTGCAATGAGCTTGCCGAGCCCCTGAAGATCCTATTTTGTAAATGCCTGGATGAACAAAGGGTCCCCAGTGAATAGAAAGTGGCTGATGCGAGTCCTATCTACAAGAAAGGTGACCGTCACTCCACGAATAACTATAGACCGGTGTGCCTGACCAGCATAATATGTAAAGTACTTGAGAGTATTATCAGAGATGCCGTGATGGAACATCTACTACGAAACAACCTTGTAAAGGATTACCAACCCGGTTTTATGCCGGGGCGCTCCTACTTAACACAATTGCTCAAGTTATTGGATATTTGGACCCCTATTCTGGAACGAGGTGGTAATATCGACAAATAAACCTAGATTTTGCCAATGCTTTCGACACTGTACCCCATGAAGGACTGAAAATCAAACTGGAAGGGTACGGAATTTGGAGAAATGTCCTAGCGTGGATAGAAGACTTTCTATATAACCGCAAGCAGTGTTTGGTGATTAATGGCATGAAATCATCATCTGTACCCGTTACAAGCTGGGTACCACAGGGCAGTGTATTGGGCCTGCTGTTGTTTGTTTGTTTCATAAATGACATGCCTGACGTTGTACTCCTTCATACAAATGTTTGCCGTCATACAAATGTTTGCCGATGAAGCCAAGTTATTTCGGTAAATCAAGAACCAAATGGACTGTGAAGAGCTGCAGAAGGATCTCTGTGAGCTCCAAGAATGGTCGAAGAAATGGCTGCTGAGATTCAATGTCACGAAGTGTAAGAAGATACACCTGGGGCGTACCAACGGTAAGGAGGCGTATCATATGTCCCAACGGGATGAAGAAACTGCACTATATTTGAGACTAAATGTAAGAAGGACCTAGGTGTGTATGCTGACAATGAGTTGAAGTTCTTGGGCCATTGTGAGAAGATTTTAAATCAGGAAAATAAATTATTAGGTCTTATAAGAAGGTCGTTCAGATATCTAGACGGTCCATCCCTTGTAACGATCTTCAAGAGTGAAGTGCTTCCCCGTTTGGAGTACTGTCACCCTGTCTGGTCCCCGAGATAAACTAGGGACTGTCAGTTGGTTGAAAATGTTTAAAGGAGGGCCACCAGACTGGCGGACACTCGCCCCACAAGGGGTCACAGCTCAAGATTGAAGAAGCCGCAAGTCCAGAAAACTTTGAGGGCAAACTTTTTCGAAGTGAGAGTTGTGAACTCTTGGAACAATCTACCAGAAAGTGTTGTGACGGCACCGAGCGTGAGCTCTTTCAAGAGCAGACTTGACCAATACTGGAACAGGTTCAGGTACATTCAGGAGCCGGAGCAAGCACAGTACATGCTAACAGTGCGTAACAGACGTAACCAATGGCCCCAAGCGGCCAACGAGCCGATCAGGGGTGAAGAGGATAAATGTAAAAAACAAGAAGTACAAGTGTTTTCCAAAGACTGCACGAGTGTTGCTGCCAGCACTCAGACACCTCACTTACCAATAACGTTGAAATTATCTTCAATTGACAAGTTCATACTCTACAAGGTCAAAGGGCAATTTAATATTAGTTTCTGAGCACCTCTAACTCCCTCACAAAAGTAATGCTACCTTTAGTATTGTGCTCTATTTGGCTAATGCCAGACGATTTTATTCAGCTCAGTAGTGACAGAGTACACAATGGGTTAATACCATTACAGTCAAATGTAGTCCCCTTCATTAGTGTGTTCTCAAGGGCTCATCAGGTTTTGTCAGTGTGGCAGCGCTATTTGTTTACATTCGACCGACAGAAGAAAACCCACAATAGTAATCATACTATGGAATCAAATTAAAACAATGTTAAAACAAATATTTCAATGTAATGATTTGTGGAAATGTTTATATGACAAGTTCCTGCAAACACACTAGTGAAGGGGACTGTACATACAGTAACCATTCCTTATTTCCTTATACAGTAACAGAAGTCCTTCTAGCGGGAATTTGATTTAATGGAATGAATATTTGCTAATATTTGCTTCTCTCTCTAGTGGAGGAAAATGAAGAGCATGGGTGTGTATGTGAATCGTGCATCTGGCAACTTAGCTAGTTAAACCTACAGTTTTTCAATTTAAACACGTTAACAGTGCATGCACCTCTGATATAAGTTTACTTTCTTCACCACTGAATGTCATGTTTAGCTAAATATTAGCTTGGCTCAAAATAGCTATTTTCTATTTACAATGCCTGTACAGTTTGTTGCCTCTGCATCACTACCCCAGCCGACTGCTCCCTCCACTGGGACACACACACACACATCTCTGGCTGCCTGCACAAACTGTCACCCAATCTAACTCTTGGCATCATTAATAGGGTTATTTCAGAGTGGAAGGAAACATATTTGTACATAAATTATATAGTTTTGTACGTTATGATGTGCCATGTACAATTACTGTATAGAAGTTTTGTTTATTTTTGACGAGTGCAAAATACTGGAACCTATTCCCATTTGCACCATATTAATAATCTACCTATTATTTTGGAACCAAGAAAGATATTATGAATAGTCTGGTCACCGATAAATGAGAGAGATTGTCAAATGAATGTAAATGTCCAAAGGAGGGCCACCAGACTGGTGCCTGCACTACATCACCTCAGTTACCCAAATAGAGATTAAAATGCCTGTAAGTGGCTAGCTTATACTGTACTATAGCTGGGCAAGGGGGTGACCTAATTGAAGTTTATAAACATCTCAGAGGGCACTACTCAGTCACGTGTTCGTACCTGGAGCTGACAGATGTCCGCTCCACAAGGGATGACAGCTCAAGGTTGAAGAACCACAATTCCAGAAAACTGTGAGGGCAAACTTCTTCAAGAGTGAGAATTGTGAACTCTTGGACCAATCTGCCAGAGAGTGTTGTGACGGCACCTAGTGTGAGCTCATACAAGACCAGATTTCACCAACACTGGCACGGGTACAGATACTTTCAGGAACCAGTACTTGTCAGTAGTACGTAACAGAGATATGACTGACCGCCCAAGTGGTTAACAAGCCGATCAGTGGCAAAGAAGATAAATATAAAAGTAAATGTTTAACACAAGGCGAAAGGCATTTAGACAGATAGAAGCGATCTGTGAGTTTATACACACAAATTTTTTTTATGTTTTTAGATGTTTTTGATACTTATTCCATTAAAAAAACACACACAAAAAAAAAGGCAAACAATTTCCTCCAAAATTTGTCAGGGCAAAAAAGTTTTAAAAATCACTGGACTGAAACAAGTAAATGTTCCACATAATCTGTAGTCTGGTGTGGGCCTTGAAATGAAGTAAACCTTCATAGAGTTTTCATTTCCTAGCCTTAACTCCTTTTGTACGTGGGCCTCTCTGTGATTAATAAAATCCTTTGGTGTTAGCCACATAAAATACTACCAATTGTGATGCCGTAGTGAAGGAGTTAAGCCCCGCTGCTCCCAGAAACGACTGATCTGGACTGGTATCCAGACTAATGGGCAATAAAACTTTGCAGCATAATTATAGTTCACACGGATAGTGTGGCCCTGCTGCTAAAAGTTCCTTTATAATGGCAGATTGGAAGTGGTATCTAGCAATATCTAGCAAGTCATTCATGAAGACCAGAGACCTGTAAAGATAATAAAATAACTATAAATAAATAAAAGCTGGAAAAGGTTACCTTTGATATATTAATGTCCCAATTATTCAATTTACAGTTCAAGTGATGGCTCACTGTGCTTCCAGTCAAGATGAGGTCTTCATGGCTGGGAGTGAATGTTTCACCGTTGTCATTGATGAAGTAGCGCCCACTCTGTTGTAGACACTTAGTTATAATGAAAGCAAATATATAATGTTCAATAATATCCATTACATCCTGCTTTTTTTTTTTTTTCACGAAGTGGTACACAGATCTGTAGTCACCAACATCATAGATTCCTTCCTTGTGGAAGCCAAGAGTTTCAGGTGACTTATCTTTGGCTTCACACTGCAGCAGTGGTATCATCTCCTTCACCTTGGCATGAGAGGTCTTTATCATCAGTCTGTATAAGACTTTAAATGTTATCCCAATCTCTGATTGATTGGAAGTCAAGATTGGCAGGACAGGGCACTCTTGCCAGTGATATCCCGATAATCCTTGTGTTCGGCATTCCTCACTACAAAATATCACCTGCAACAAAATAAAAGATAGGAATGGAAGGTAATAAACAAAGCAAGTTATTTTGCTTTAGTCAGATGTGACGAGACATAGGTAAATCATATAAGGTAGATAATACCTCTCAAGCTTGCATATTGTACTATAAATTATTTTACCATTTGAGAACTGGTAAACCATATGGTATACGGTACAGTAAACTGCTGATATTGTCATATGAGACACCCCTCCATTGCAATGTGAAATGCTGCTTCCTTCTCAATAAATACAGTACAGTACAGTATTACATTTTTTGTAAGAAATACATTGATAACCAAATTCTCTTAATAAATGCACAGTCTGTGATAGGTTCTTGTTATTGTGGCTGCTACTTCAAAATATTCCCAGCACCCAGAGTTATAAAAAGTACTGGATTTTGTTACTTACAGTATTTTACGGCACGATGCACTTTTTTGTCCGAAATTTTTTTAAAAATAAATACGCCTGCATCCTATATGTGAAGTTGTGGTCTCCTACAAGCTAATGAATCCCCCTGTTGCTGTCTTCAGTAGGCTATCTACTTAACCCAACTCCAGAATTAAAAATCTGCTATAGCTTACTTAAACACATTATTATTATTTTTAATTAATTAAAAAATTACTGTATTATTGTAAATATAAATAGTACAGTAGCTCTATTACTACAGTAATCTGTACTGTACTGATCATGATAACCTAAGAGGATTAACATGTGTACGGCAGACACCCAACTCTTACAAGCATTATAATCTATTAATGCCATACCTGCAACATATATTTTTCAATCTACAAATACATACCTGATACAAATGAAGATTTACAGATAACTTTCTTTTCAAATTTACATCTGTCAACATCACTGGCAGCATTGTAGCCAGGTTAGACTCGTCTCTATAATCAGGCTACTGGGCCAAGCTGCTGTTTGTATACAAGTTAGCTGGCTTGGTGGGGGAGTGGGAGGACGACTGGGTGGTTGGCAAGGGACATTGCTAGGGAATCAGCGGAGGTAGTGTCATCGTTACCATGGTAAACAGGGAAGACAGATGTACAGTACAGTATAGTATATGCAAATAGCGTCTGTGTTAAACTTTCATTTGAATTTTATTTTCTGGTTTGGCAATAGAGGAATTTTTGTTGTAACTTATTTATTGTTATTTTTTTTATTTATTCCTCACATTTACTGGTACTGTATATATTGTTTTAAGAAAACTAAGGCTACAGGAGGAAAATACACACTAAAGTTTTTCTCCTAAATACCCCCTGCTAAAAGGTGGTGTGTGTCTTATATGGCCGTGTGTCTTATATGCCATAAAATACAGTAAGTAAAAGTATTGTTACAATTGGCAAAAGGTTACCGAAGTAAAAGTATCCAAAGTTCAATGTACTCAAGTAAAAGTAAAAAAAAAACTATCTCATTCATAACTACTCAAGTACACCAAGTAAAAAGTAACAACAAAATTATTGATTGTCTAAAATATTAAAATAAATCCACAGTAAATTAGGAAAAAAAATAGTTAACTAAAGATAAAAATAAAAGACACATGGCATGATTCTCAAAATTATGGTTGTCCAATCAGGGTCTCTTAGGCCTAATATAAGCCTAGCATGACCTACTGAATGAAAATACAATCCACCGCAAGGATAGTGAATGGGCTGAAAATATGCATACACAAAAATGTTGTGCTCTAGTCGCGCTTACGTAATTATTTTATCGTGATTACTCATAAAACTGTTTGTAGATGCAAATGCAAAGAATCCCATCATTTTATTTCAAATAGCAACCTTGTTATGACTCATTACATACAATTATCTCTCGTGTGGTGAGGTAACAGGCCAGACCAGGAGTGTCTCGTGAGAGAGCACCTACCCAAGAGTGTCAAGAGCTAGTCAGTGCTGTTATTGTTCTAGAAGGAACAAGAGACTTGTTGGCAAAAGTAAAAGTCAGATAAAGGTTTGAGGGGAAGATGTTTATGAAGAGTCAAAAGTAACAAAATTAATGATGGGAAGTGGTCTGTGCTGTTAAAGAAGGATAAGACATTAACCAATAAGAAACTGAACTTAATTTTATATCTTAAGTGTAAATTTAAATCTTTTCATTCCATAAGCTACATTAAATCTTGATAAAACAAATCAAGTACATAAATTGGTGTTTTGTCCAGACATAAATGAACATGATAAATACACTTACCAGATTACAACTTGGGCAGGGGAGTGGAGCCAGGCACCTTGTCAGGCAGACAGTACAATAACTCTTACACTGGTCAGGGATCACTAAACTGAGGTAACCTTCATCTACAGCCACTACCTCACCTGTAAAAAAAAAAATCATTAAAACTAAAGAAATAATGAGTACAATATTCAGAACAACAATAGGAGATGATGAAGTTTCCAAACTCAAGCAAAAATAAACTCTGCTGTGATAATTCTACAGAGAAAAATCTTATTACCAAAATATCTCAACAAGAGTTTAAACATCAAATACACACTCACATTGGCCTGTACAAATTCCTAATACAATACAGTGCAAAAGTGAAATTACTGATGTCTAAATTAACTACTGTACACAGAGTACTTTTTTCCTTCTAAAATTACAGTATTGAAAGAGTTAAAAAAGTTAGTGTCCCATTAAATATTCATCTTCTTTCTTACTTTATAATTTACTCATCAATTTATTGTATGTTCCTCAAAGACATTATTTATTGCCTTACCTGGATTAATGTCATGTTTAGCAAGGAGGTGCCGTCCCTGGCACTGTGTGAAGGCCAGTTCAACAGCACTGCTTAGTGATGGCATGGCTGGGTTTGGCTTGGCTAGTGTTGGTGGCTTTGGAGTTTCATAAGCAAAAGATAATTCATTGGAGTCTAAAAAAGCCTTAGCTGTCCCTTGTTTACCAGCTGATGTAAATTTTTGACACTTGGTCTTCATGTCTAACAATTTCTTGAAAGAAGGTCGTGAACATCCAAAATGAAATGCCAGATCAACATCATTTGAACACTTGCCATACTGCTTCATGGCATACAAGACTACTGATCGTGCCTCATAGGCCTGAGCCAACTCCTTATATTCTCCTGAACTAAAGCTGTTGACATTTTCTTCAGTGTCACTACCATGAGCTGGAGTTCTTCCCTCAGCACCTGGGTGTGGTGCTGATGAAATTGCCAAATTGTAAAACTTTAGAGCCTCATCCAAGTGGTGCTGCATGTAAGCTATGTCACCTTGTCCACGGTAAGCAGCGGCATGATTTTCAGACTTGCCAGATGAATGAAAGACTGTTGTTAAAACCTGGTGGGCTTCTTCCAGACCCCAAAGGAATGAAAAAGCTTCCTCTGTGGTATGAGGTGGCTCATGTAAGGCCACCAGTTTACGAATATTGTTAGTTTTCTCCAGCACTTTAAGTAAACGTGACATCATCACATCAATATAAGGCATGGTGTCTAACTTCCTGAAGTAGCGTGGCTCAAGGACCACAGTACCTGAAAATGACAGTAATCTTAATTTTAGGGTTACCTCTTCTAATATTACACCTCCCAGTACACTAATTATTACATTTAACACAACGGGCTACATATACAGCTGCTCCTCGACTTACGACGGGGTTAGGGACACAAATCCAAGTCGTAAGTCGAAATGGTCGTAAGTTGAAAATGCTTAAATAATACATAGAAAATCTAAAATGGGCATCTCTTTTTCTTCTCAGCACCACAAAACTCTCACTTTTAAGCTTGCCAGCCACGTTAGAGTGAATTACAAACGAAAATTTTTTCAGTACACAGCTCAATCACTGACGTTGGGACTCGAAAATATGTAATTTGACAAAATTTTGGCACGACCGAGGCGGTCTTATGTCCGAGTGGTCGTAAGTCGGGGAGTAGCTGTACTTAATTTGTGTTTTACTGATTATTAATTTGTTGAATTTAGTTCCTCAATAATTACCTCCCTGACTGATGCTCGGTGCTGCCCAGTGTAGAATTATTTTCATCAACAATACGTACTGCCAGTTATACAAATGTAAACAATTTTCATCAATAACAACTTTTGCAACAATACAGTATTAGTCTTTTTCATTCTACCAATATATCCAGGTCTATTGGTAAAGAAGATTAATGCACATTACTACAGTGTTACACAAAATATGCTACAAGTCACACTTTTGAAGCTGAAATTTTTTATAATTGATATCCACATATAATTTTGTCACATTAACCCTTATGCCTCGGGTGACATTCCAGAACACGCGCCTTTTACCGCCACTGTTTAAATGCCCAGCGTAGGTTATCAGGTTCCAGTGTGACCATTTGCCTGTCACACCACACGCTCGGCCACAGGGAAGCTTCCTGAACGTAATTATGTACTTTTATTTGTTTCATTTTCATTGTTTGTCCTTTTTATTATGTTGTATCAAAGTAATACTGTATTGCTAAAAGTAGTGTAGTTGTATTGTAGTGTAGAATTACTGGAAAATAATGCTATGATTATGTTATACTTTTTACTTTTATCCTCTTCACCACTGATCAGCTCATTGGCAGCTTGGGCAATCGGTCACGTCTCTGTTACGCACAGTTGGCAAGTACTGGGCATGCACTGGCTCCTGAATGTACCTGAACCTCCTCCAGTGTTGGTCAAGTCTGGTCTTGAAAGAGCTCACACTGTGCCGTCACAACACTCTCTGGTAGACTGTTCGCAACTCTCACTCCGATAAAGTTTGCCCTCACAGTTTTCTGTATTTATTTGTGGAATTATTATCATTTATATATTACTTGGTCTACCAAACACAAAGACAGCCAGACAGCCTGGTGACCAACTGCGTGTGTGTTGCCGAGCACTTTTATGAAAAATAATGCAAATAAAATATTCTAAATGAATTACCGGTATTTATAGTAAAGGCAAGCAGAAAATGGCCTGTAAGTGCATAGCTACCACGAGCATCAGCTGTCAAAACAACACTGTCCCAGAGAAGTTTCTAGAGGGTCAATATATAGTTTTTCTTACTTCTTTTTTTATTGTTTTATCATTTAAAAGGGCTAAAAATTATTTTTGGAAAAGTTTTGATTCTTCTTGATTTACCCCCACGTGGAGGGGACACGGCCAGCGGCACCCTAGCCTGGGGCTAGGGGGTTAAGTGAAGTGATAGAGGACTTATGTTCCTGACAAATAAAAAATTAAAATGGTTTACATTTGTTTTAAACAGGAGTACTGTATAAGAAAATAGTCACAGCTGTGCACAACCCTTTTTCATTAACTTTAAAACCAAACAGTAAACCATTTACTTGTCAAACTTTATATTGTACAATATTACAGAAGACGAGGGGCGATATAACACCAGTTTAACCTCAAAAAAACATTGCTCAATCTAATGGACTATGTGCTTGACAACCCCACTAAGGGTCATGGCCTCAAGTTAAAGCTGCCAGGGGTAACTTATTTTAAGTAAGAAATGTCAACTCTTGAAATGTCCTACCAGAGAATGTTGTGACAGCACCAAGTGTTAACTCTCTAAGTCCAGCCTTGACCAACAATGAAATATGTTCTTGTACAGTATATTCAGGAGCCCATTTCTGGAGCTAGCAGTTGCCTGCCCCTCTAGCAGTCACAGCATCAAGTTAAAAAAGCCTCAAGTATATACATCTGTAAGGGCAAACTTCTTTGGAGTAACTGATGTAAAATCTTGCCAGTGTTGTGATGGCATCGAGGGTAAACTCATTTGAGGACTTCAACAAGAAAAACATCGATTCATGTTCTGGTACATTTTAAAGCCTGTACACACCCAATCAGCCCTGCATTTGCCAACAGTGCATAATAGTCATGACCAACTGGCCAAGCAGTTAACTGGCCTATCAGCGACAAAGAGCATATGGTTACAAATGTCCACTTCTTGCCAACAGTGCCATTATATAATAAAGAACTGACCAACTCTAATAATAATAATAATAATAATAATAATAATAATAATAATAATAATAATAATAATAATAATAATAATAATTAACGGTTTATTGAAAAAATTCTGCAGCCCGAAGGCTGAAAATATACATTGGACACTAATGACTTATTACATTCATTGGTGGTTTAACAAAAGCCTTCATTATAGAAAGGTAAAGGAACATGCAGTGAACATACAGATTAATGTAGGTGTTAAACAGCAAACTCGTAGTGTAGTAACTCCCTCCCAGATGGTGTTAGGAGGGACCTCACGTGGTGTAGTAGTTCCTTCAGATGGTGTTATGAGGGATCTGGCATGGTGTAGTAATTCCCTCACAGATGGTGTTATGAGGGGCCTCACGTGGTGTAGTAATTACCTCACAGATGGTATTATGAGGGGCCTCACGTGGTGTAGTAATTACCTCACAGATGGTATTATGAGGGGCCTCACGTGGTGTAGTAATTCCCTCACAGATGGTGTTATGAGGGACCTCACGTGGTGTAGTAATTACCTCACAGATGGTGTTATGAGGGGCCTCACGTGGTGTAGTAACTCCCTCACAGATGGTGTCATGAGGGGCATCACGTGGTGTAGTAATTCCCTCACAGATGGTGTTCTGAGGGGCCCGACGTGGTGTAGTAATTCCCTCACAGATGGTGTTATGAGGGACCTCACGTGTGGTAATTCCCTCACAGATGGTGTGATGAGGGACTTGACGTGGTGTAGTAATTCCCTCACAGATGGTGTTATGAGGGACATGTGGTGTAGTAATTCCCTCACAGATGGTGTTATATGAGTGAGGTGTGGTCCCAGTCCTTCCTATCGTAGACGGATTAACACATCGGTGGTTATTGTTGGGTCTCAAGGGCCGCTATCACTGGGTACCTGGGACCTCACTGTGTGAAGGTTAACTTGGGTACGACTGTTACCGTTGAGTTGTTCTCACTGACTTAAGCACTGTTCACCACTGTTCACCTGTTTAACACTGGTTCCGTTCCTTTCCAAATGAAATTGTAACTTCTGGCGAGAACTTGTTGATATTCCGGTGGGGAGGAGGGTTCAGGGGAGGGGGTTGGTATGGGCCAACTTAACAGTTGACCTGGCTGCTCCGAGAGGAGCGCCAGGTACGTCTTGACCCTTCGGTGGTCAAGGATGTGTGTGTGTGTGTGTGTCTTTTTAATAATTTTCGTCACTTATCAGCTTACTAGTCATTCAGGTGGTTGGTCTCCAGGAGAAAACTTGGGACTGGAAAACCTGAGATATTTGGTAGGGTCACACAGGATAACCCCCTTCTTGCGTGTGCGGGCCGAGGCTTGAACCCTTGACATATTAGTAAGAGTTATGTGCGATACAGTTGTACCACCATAGAGTACAGTACAGTACTTGTACTCCCAGCTATGTTGCATAGTTGTGAAACACTATGAACACATACAGAACTAGTATAGGCCCTTCAACCAATCACATCAGTAGTCGTAGAAGCAACACCAACAGCCATCTCAGTTAGCCATTTAGGTGGTTGGTCACAATTGTTGCACATTGTTGACAATTACTAGGCATGTGTAGTAATGGCTGCAGAATGTATCTGTGATCCTGACCTGTAATGAATGTATCATAATAAAATTTAGTTTAATTAATTTAATGAATTGCCTTAAGATTCTCCATCCCAGCCTATTTGGGAGATGGGGTTAGGTTTGCTTAAGGTTATTTAATCTTAAGGTGAAATAATTTGGGATGGATAATCCTTAGGTGATCCACTTTCATTACAAAAGGAATGGAGAATGTTAATTACATGTAAAGTAATATATTCTATCAACATAACACTAAAGACTTTTTTTTTTTACTTTTATCCTCTTCACCACTAATCGGCTCATTAGCCGCTTGGATGATCAATTACGTCACTGAATACTTTTCCTTTTCTTTTATCCTCTTCACCAAAAGATCGGTTCGTTAGCCGCTTGGACGATCGGTTACATCTGTTATGCACTGTTGGCAAGTACTGGGCATGCACCGGCTCCTGAATGTACCTGCACCTGCTCCAGTGTTGGTCAAGTCTTGTCTTGAAAGAGCTGGTAGATTGTTCCAAGAGTTCACAACTCTCACTCCAAAAAAGTTTGCCCTCACACCTTTCTAGACTTGCGGCTTCTTCAAGCATGAGCTGTGACCCCTTGTGGTGCGAGCGTCCGCCAGCTCCAAGTAAGGACACTCGACTGAGTAGTGCCCCTTGAGATGCTTATACACCTCAATTAGGTCACCCCTTGCCCGTCTGTAGTATAAGCTAGGCAAGTTCAGGCGCTCCAATCTCTCAGAGTAGCTGAGGTGCCGAAGGGCAGGCACCAGTCTGGTGGCCCTCCTTTGAACATTTTCAACCAACTGATAGTCCCTAGTATATCTCGGGGACCAGACGGGGTGACAGTACTCCAGATGGGGAAGCACTTCACTCTTGAAGATCGTTACGAAGGACGGACCGTCTAGATATCTGAACGACCTTATAAGACCCAATAATTTATTTGCCTGATTTACCTTCTTCTCGCAAAGGCCCGAGAACTTCAGTTCATTGTCAACATACACACCTAGGTCCTTCTCACATTGTCTCAAATAGTGCAGTTTCTTCATCCTGTTGGGACATATGATACGCCTCCTTACCGTTGGTACGCCCCAAGTGCATCCTCTTACACTTCGTGACATTGAATCTCAGCAGCCATTTCTTCGACCATTCTTGGACCCACAAAGGTCCTTCTACAGCTCTTCACAGTCCGCTTGGTTCTTGATTTCCCGAAATAACTTGGCGTCATCAGCAAACATTTGTATGGAGGAGTGTACAACGTCAGGCACGTTATTTATGAAACAAGCAAACAACAGCGGGCCCAATACCTGTGGTACCCTGCTTGTGACAGGTACGGATGATGATTTCGTGCCATTAATCACCACACACTGCTTGCAGTCATGTAGAAAGTCTTCTATCCACGCCAGGACATTTCCCCGAATTCCATACCCTTCCAGTTTGATTTTCAGCCTTTCGTGGGGTACACTGTCGAAAGCCTTGGCAAAGTCTAGGTAAATATTGTCGATATTACCACCCCGTTCCAGAATATGGGTCCAAATATCCAATACCTTGAGCAATTGTGTTAAGCAGGAGCACCCCGGCATAAAACCATGTTGGCAATCCTTTACAAGGTTGTTTCGTATTAGATGTTCCATTGCGGCATCTCTGATAACACTCTCAAGTACTTTACATATTATATTGGTCAAGATCACCGGTCTATAGTTGTTCGTGGAGAGACGATCGCCCTTCTTGCAGATAGGACTCACATTAGCCACTTTCCATTCACTGGGGACCTTTTGTTCATCCAGACATTTACAAAACAGGATCTTCAGGGGCTCGGCAAGCTCATTGCACAACTCTCTTATCACTCTAGGATGCACCATGTCAGGGCCGGGACTCTTATGGACCTTCAGCTTTGACAGTTTATTTTTTATAACCTCTTCTGTGAACACAATGTGGGTCAATGCTGTGTCGAACCATCTGTCCTCAAACGCAGGAAGGTTAATCGCATCCTCTCTTGTGAACACCGAGGAAAAGAAGGTGTTCAATGCCTCGGCTTTATCCTGTCTGGTCTGATATTCCTACTCGCGTTTTTAATTTCGACTTTGCATAGCCGTAAAACGCCGTTGGGTTTGACTTGACCTCGCTTGCAACCAGCCTCTGGAACTCCTTTTCAGCCCTTCTACATTCTATCTTTGCTTGGTTTCTGGCTCTTGCATACATCCTCCTGTCCTGCTCATCATTTGACCCAACCCACGTCTTGAATTTCTGGGTTTTCTTCTTAACTTTGTCGACCACGTCATGATTCAACTGTAGGTATCCCCTCGTATTCCTAGAAGCACTGGGTTTGATCTTGGGTATATACTTATCGATCAAATGGGTCACTTTACTGTTTATGATATTCAGCGTAGTGTCTGCATTCTTGTGCCTTCATAAGTCAAGCCAGTGAATACCCCTCACCTCTTCCCTCATCCCATTGTAATTTCCCCTGTAATATTTGCACCTTGGCCTTATCTTGAACTAGGTAACAGTTAAATCTGAATGACAACACTATATGGTGACTGGTGCCAACTGGGGCAAGGTGTTCCAGTTTGGCCACCATACCCTCCTCGTTTGTTGTGATGAGGTCTAATGGCTTGGGTGTTTGCTCCCCTCTGTAATGTGTCGGGTCTCTAACATGTTGGAACAGAAAATAATCTCTCAGAGTTTCTACAAAAAGAGTAACAGGGTTATTCAAGTCATTTGGGATGAACTCGTTTCTCCAGTCAATGTCGCCATAGTTAACGTCCCCCATGATAAGGAGGTGGCTAGGGTTGAGCATTGCCGAGTTGTCTATTATGGCTCTTAAGTTCCTTTGATTTAGTGGGCCACAGTTTGGGGATCTGTAGATACACCCGACGATAAGTAAGTCCCCCTCCCTTTAATTTAATTTTACACCACTTGGACTCTTCAAAAACATCCTCTCTGTACTCTAGCCTGGCTGGCTCTAAGGTCTTGCCTACAGTAGCATAAATAACCACACCCCTCTTGCAAGTTTCTTGAGAAAGGTTTGTAAATGAGTCATATCCAGCAATACTGAACTCACATTCCTCTGGGTCGATTCTCCTGTTCTTGTACAACAGTTCTACAACTCCCACAATATCTGGTTGGTGTACCTTCAGTAGTGTTTCAAACTCCTCTCTCTTATCAAGGAACGTGTCAGTATTAGTGCACATGACATTCAAGCCAGAATTTGTTCTCGGTAACATCTCTGCTCTTAGTAGTAACCCCCCTCATTCTCAGAAGCTGCAGCATTTGCTAAGTACACTGTATTTTGCAGGGTGTGGTTAGAAATGTCATTGTTTACAAGGCGGTTGCCTCCTCCCGGCTGATAGGCGGAAGTGGTGCCACCTCCCGGGCAGGGGGTAGAGCGAGTGGAGGGTGCGCTGCTGTCCCCCTGCCCTGTGTCGGCACACTTGCTTCCACCACTCTCTCCCTGAATACAACCCATTTACACCCGTCCCTGCTCCTCCTCGACTCCTCCCTTCTCTGCTTCAAGCCCTGCAGGAGCTTCCTGTGCTGTTCCCTCTGCATTACCGTATGATCTGGGTGAATGAATACACTCCGAAATGCCTCGCTCCTTGCTAAGTTTTTTGCCTGCCGAATAACCTCCCATTTCTCCTCCTCACTCACTAGTGAGTCATAAATAAGCTGTACAGTACTGCGTCAAGTAAGTGCACATATACTTGGAGACATCACGATAAAACATAAAGAAGCTGATACCTGAAGCTTGTTGATTTAAGTGAATAAAGAGACATAATTCTATATTAAATGACTGAAATGTAACTTACTGAGTCTTCTTCTACACTATGTCCTCAATCAACTCAAGCGTGATTTTCACACATAAAGAGTTGTAGGTTCTGGAGTGCCCAAGTAAAGAGGCTTGTACTGCACACAATTTGTCCATTCATTATCAAAGGCTGTACAAGTATCTCTTATATCTTGCTGTACAAGTATCTCTTATATCTTATCTTGCAGTTTTTACTCTTTGGCCACAAAATGTGTAGCCCCATTGGCACCAGCCATCATGCGACATTGTCCTTCAGATTTATCAGTTACTGTATATGATCAGGCCAATGTTCAAATATTGCAATGGCAATTATGGCAGGATGAAGGGGTATTCCACTAACCTGACTTGCTGGTAAACAAGAATGTGAATTCTACTGTGACCCCTTGTGGGGCGAGCATCTGCCAGCTCCAAGTAAGGACACTCGACTGAGTAGTGCCCCTTGAGATGTTTATATACCTCAATTAGGTCACCCCTTGCCTGTCTGGAGTATAACCTAGGCAAGTTCAGGCGCTCCAATCTCTCCGGGTAGCAGAGGTGCCGAAGTGCAGGCACCAGTATGGTGGCCCTCCTTTGAACATTTTCAACCAACTGACAGTCCCTGGACCATTATTATTTATTACATATACATAAACGACATAGATATCGGCGTAGACAGCAACATAAATAAATTTGCTGATGACACTAAAATAGGGCATGTAATTAAAACTACAGGAAGATCTAAACAAATTTTTTCAAATGGTCTAAAAAATGGCAGATGAAATTCAATGTGGACAAATGTAAAGTACAGGTAGTTCTGCTATAACGCGATAATTGTGTTCTTGTAAAATATCGTGTTATAGAAAATCGCGTAATAGAAATAACAGGGCTTATGGAGAAAATAGGGTTAGGTGCAGATTACTCGAAATCGAAAAAATTTAGTAGTTAGCCTAACACAAAGGATAGCACAGTCTAAATAAATGTTACATTCATATCTAATAATGAAATCATACAGTAAATGTAACACTTTACTTGATGGGGGAGAAGGGTGATTTTGAGGTTGATAAAATCGAGCTTCTCTTCAAGTGTTATATCCTTTCTTTTACGATCATCACCGGGAATTCTATCACCAGAACGCTTCTTGTTGATATTCTTCTTTACTATATTCACAGTTAATATTGTACCACAAAATTGGAGAAATAGTAAGCAAAAATCGCGTTATAGCAAACAAGCGTTCGCGTTATACAAATATCGTTCCTAATTCATAAATCGCGTTAGAGCAAATTCGCGTTATCAAAACACGCGTTATAGCAGAACTCACTGTACTCAGTATAGGAGATGTAAACAGGGAAACCAGATACCAGACGAACAACGATGTTATTGAGAAATCCGACTGCGAGAAAAATTTAGGAGTAATGATATGTAGTAATCTTATGCCAAGTAAACAATGTGTATTTGCTCGAAACAAGGTTAATAAAGTACTTAGGTTCATACAAAGGAGTGTTAGTTACAGGACTAGCGATGTCATCCTAAAACTATATCTTGTGCTTGTGAGACCTCACTTGGATTATGCAGTTCAATTCTGGTCACCGTATTACAGAATGGATATAGAATCCTTGGAAAGAGTTCAGAGGAGAATGACAAGGCTAATCCCGGGCATTAGGAACCTTGTGTACAGAGACAAGTTAAAGCATCTTAATTTGCACACCCTCAAGACGTAGAGTGAGGGGCGACCTCATAGAGGAGTATAAGTGGAAGGCAGGGCTGAACAAAGGGGCCATTACAAAGATACGTACTTAAACTATCCAACCAGGAGCAAACTCGTAACAATGATTTTAAATTAGACAAATTTAGATTTAGGCACGAAATAGGTAAGCATTGGTTTGGAAATAGAGGAGTGGACATGTGGAACAAGTTACCAAATATCATCATTAACTTGAATACGGTGGATAGCTTCAAACATAGGTTGGATGGATATATGAGCAATAGGGGTTGGGTGTAAATGGGACTGCCCAGTATGGGCCAATAGGCCCGCTGCAGTTTCCTCCATTCTTATGTTCTTATATAGACCTCCTAATCTTGATAAGGTTAATGAGTGACTTATTTGGGATGAAATGAGCAGGGCTTCCATACACAGCAAAGTCTGTATAGTAGGCGACTTTAAATTTCGCCAAATAGATTGGATCGACCTTACGGATAACTCAGAATCAGAGGATTTTCTTGAAAGAATCCAGGACTGTTTCCGAAGTCAACATATAACCGAACCCACCAGGGGTAATAATATTCAGTACTTGATTTAGTTAGATCAAACAGAGAAAACTTCAGTAATGTCGAGGTAGGGAACGAACTTGCCAACAGATATCACAAAGAAATAAGATTCCAATTAGAATTTAATGGCAGTTGCAAGGAAAATTCCATTAAAGTCCCAGATTTCAGAAGGGCAAACTTTGATAGTTTGAAAAAGCAGCTGAGAGAAGGGGTGAATTACATGACCTCACGTGTGGTTCGAAAATACAATACCTTAGAAAGGGGGCTGGTGGTAGAGCGGTACCGCTCTTGCCTCGCAAGCGAGATACCATGGGTTCGATTCCCGGGCCGGTGGAAAGTTGTTTGGACATACTTCCTAGCCCCCTTGGTCCCTGCTTACCTAGCAGTAAAGTAGGTACATGTTGTAAATCGAAAAAGTACGAATTCATATTCAGGGAAAGTTGTTAGAGCTTCCAATAACTTGCTGACAAAAACCTATGACCCTTCAGGCTTCTACGCCCTTGACAAAAAAAAAAACCTATGACCCTTCAGGCTTCTATGCCATTAACTCATGAGACATAGAGGCAAGCATGAACTTAGCATGCTTCCCAGTTGGGTGCTGTAAGTGCTTCTGTGCTTCACCTTGCACAAGATTAGGGGAGTGACAAAAAAAAATAAAATAAAAAAAAAACTTAGAAGTGGAAGGACCAAGGATACGTAAGAATTGGATAGAATAATCGTCTTTCTCGTAAAACTCTGCAATAAACTTAAAATAATCGTAGGAGCACAAACGACGGTAAATTTGCACTTCCACCTCCCACTGTTAGAAAGTCAAAAACATATTTTTCTAAGCGAATGAAAAATACACCAAAGCACACTAGAAAAACAAAAAAACAAACCTAACTTAATTGACTCTCACCATATGATGGAATCGCCTATTTCTTACCTTATTGAGCTGGTTCTTGTTTGTCGTTGGATTCTGAGATTCTTAAACATCGCCACATTTGTTGTTCTTTGCGATATTTACATTGTCTTGCACTTAGGACACTTTACTGAGGTTGGAAGAACACCTTGTGATCGAAAAAATGCTATAGTTTTGTAGGGGTATCGAGATATTAATGTTGTCTAACGTCCACTACAGTTTCTTCGTTTTTTCCCCAAAACTCTCAATCAGCTCCATATAATTGAAGTGACACCAATCGCAGACATATGGTCGGAAATGAATGTGAATTTCGAAGTACGAGACCCAAAATAAAAATTGATTTTGATTGGGCCAAAAATACCGCGAATTAAACCACAAATTATTTTAATTGGTTGCAAAAAAAAAAAAACGCTTTCGATTGGTCGTGTACGGGAACGCATGCGCATGATGATTTATGAAGGAGACGCGCAGTGTGGGAGGTGGGGTAGGCGATAATGGCAGAAGATTAATGGAAGAAAATAGAGAAAATTTTGGATATGCTATCTCCGTTATTATACATTTGCGACAGTAATGTAATAGATGAAAATTAAAATATAATTAGAAGTCTTATTAGAATATGATGATAGATTAGTGGTAGGAATGTGGAATGTGTAAACGCAAAAATACCCAAACGACAACCAACCTCCACCACGGCCATTGTGAAACTGGTCAATGAAACTAAAATCATACCCAGGCTGTTTCCTTTGAAAAAAAATAAATGTGATTGGTCGAGAAAAAATCGCGTGATGATATCAATACCTCATTGGTCACGACTGGATGACGTTGGTCAGCATTACGCATGATAACATCTCAGAGATGAACACTGAAAACTACTTAAAATCAATTAAATTATATTGTGTCGCTATTATCTATTTCCGCCATGTATATATGGGGTTCAAAATGCTCAGAATAGTAAGATCTAAATGTTCAGTAGCTTATAACTTTCGGGGGCGCTATATCCGAAAGTAAAATAATACCAATAAAACTGCCCTTTTCAAGACACTTCTGTGACGTTTCCCTCACAGATGACCTAAGGTACAAATTACCTTACCTACCTACCTACCCAGCCCCCTTCCCCCGGTATATTTAAGTATTTTATGAGGGAAATGTCACGGAAGAATATTGTCTTAAAATTGTCAAACCTTTCGGAAAAACTCACTGCTCAACTCGAGAGCCATATTGGTTGAAAATGCAAATTTAACCCTTTTACCCAAGTTACCAAACTTGCACCTGCCAAAAGAACACCAATAAATATCACACACACACATAAACACTTCTAAATGCAAACATAGGTTGGATGCTTATATGAGTAATAGGGGTTGGGTGTAAACGGGACTGCCCAGTATGGGCCAATAGGCCCGCTGCAGTTTCCTCCATTCTTATGTTCTTAACAACACACAACTAACACAATGTTACGCCATAAACCATAACACACGTTCCAAGTGACACATACTTTACCCTGTAGACAGAGGCTGGGGTGTAGTATGGTATTCACTAGTCCCAACCTGGGTGTCGTAAGTGTGGTGTGAAGACGTGGCAAGGAGTGATCAGCCAGTCCACCAGTCGTCGAGAGCCCCACACAAGCACACGTCCAGGTCCTGTATGGCTGTCGCGCTGCCAATTTTTGTACAGATACTAATATTTGTGCGTGAATTATTACTCATAATTATATAAAATACATACATTATCAACTTCAATTATTTATACGAACAATACATTCGTTCTGATCCAAAATCTACTTTCCCTTTGATGTATCCAGGTGAATGTGACGTAGATATGTCACCATCGCTGCCACCACCCTGACGTGTCACGAGTCACCACTGATATAGAATTAATTTTAACTACATATAAAGTCTTAAGATTATTATTATTATCATTATCATTATTATTATTATCATTATTATTATTATTATTATTACTATTATTATTATTATTATTATTATTATTATTATTATTATTATTATTATTATTATTATTATAACAAGATAAATCCGAATCAGGGGAAGTGGCACTAGAGCCAATAAATGTGCTTCAGGGTAAATGCCCTATTTTAGGGTAATCAAGCCTTCTTCAGGGTGCAATTTAGGATAAACCAAACTTTTGCCAAATCTAGGGTAATCAAGGATTTCTTTGGGTATTGTATTCATATTTTAGGGTAATCATTGCATTATTTTGCAGTAGTAATTAAATAAATGTTACAGTAATTTGACGTTGGACTGACTGACTATTTCTTAATTAATTATAACAATTTTGCTTCTATACAACTTAGGTAAGTGTCCCATTTATACGAAACACTTACAAGTTTTCTTTTATTACGTTACTCATATTTTCACTTTTTTAGACTGGTATTTGTGATACCTTTAAAGTACAATATGTTTTATTATATATTCACATAATTATATTGTTTCATTAGTCGTTTTTATCAGCAATAGACCCTTATATCTTGGCATGGTATATTACTTAAGCAGTTAGTACAGGACCCAGTTGTTTACTTCAGGTGCTGCCATGGCGACCGAGGATGCTGGTGGATCTTTCTCACACTTTAACACCATTTTAAGTGACTTACAGCATACTAACAAAGCCAAGAGAAAAAAGGCATTTGATGAATATTATAAATTAGTGTTTGAAGATGAGGAAAGTGTGGATAAAGGGAAATTAGATAAGATTCTCGAGTTTTCCTTAAGTTTGTTGGTAACCAGCCTGGGTGATCCGTCTGAAGTGATTAGAATGAAGGTTTCCATTATTCTCCTAAAATTTATTGATGAATGTGTTGTTTCTGAGTGTCAGTTAGTTGATATTATCCCTGTTATTCATCATAGACTCGGGGTTGTTCCTGTGATGGAGGAGAGTGAAGATGTCAGACTGCTGTTGGTTAATATCATCATGGGTTTAACTCTAAAATTCGAGGCCAAGATGATTCCTTATATGAATGATGTGGTCAATATTCTCAAGGAGTCTGTGGTCGATCGTAGTCCAGATGTGAGGAAGGCGGCGAGCGAGTGTGTGAGGGCCTACACCAGGGCCACCAGAGAGAAGTTCCACATGCAGTCAGAGTCGCTAGTTAAGCCACTCCTGAAGGCCCTGACTCACCAACGGTTCAAGAATAGAATATCGTGTTTAAATGCCTTAGGTGAGGAATGTTACGACCCCATTAAGGTTTCAGTGGAGAACACCTCTGCCACCAGAAGGAGTTATTCGATTTCATTCTTTTCTTTTTTTTTCACATGTTCTTATTATTACGGTAACTGCGAGAGTAGATCCCCCAGACCCCCGCCATATAAGACGGTACCGGTACTTAGTTTTGATATCTGGTAACCAATGAAAGCAGCTCTGTTGATGTGTTATGGTGTAATTTTACTTTTTTGTGAGAGTACAGTACACTCAGACCATCGGGTCGGTTGGAAACAAACTGAGCAGGTGACAACTCGGCTGATTTGGCAGATTTTTTATTTTTTTGTATTTACAGTAAATAATTAATTTCTTCACGTACAAAGCACATAGAGACATCATTTTAGTGTCGTATGATCAGTTTTCACCCAGTTTTATCACTCATTTTCCCACATCCCTCATGCCATGCCCACTACAAGTGATTTATGATAATGGAGAAAAATTTGAAAAAATATTTATAGTGTATTGTACTGTAATTAAAATAAAAAGTTGTCACCTCTTAAAAATTACAATACAGTAATGATAAGAACAGCTGTTTCCTCACAAATTGCTGCACCCCTTAACCGGCAACCTGAGCGAATTGTTTTATAGAAAATAAATATTTTTTTTACCCCATTAATAAAAGAAATTGAGTCACAAACTTCTAGTACTGTACATCTATTTTTTTTTTTTTTTTTTTTAACGTGGCCTCCAGCCTCCCCCAATAGCCACACCTTCGCCACCATTTATTTACCACTCTAGATAATGCTTAGTAATTAAAATACTGTACCAAGTAAACATTTCCTAATATAACCACAAACCAAACTTACACCTCTATAATCCGTTATGTGGGGGTTTCACATCTAGCAAGACCCTTGATATAATGGACTTTCATCTCTATAGTGTGTTAAATAGAGGTTTCACTATTAATAACTATTGTGTGTGTTTTTCAAAGCTGTTGGTGTGAGGCTAAGAATCTCCCTTCTCCCAAAACTTGAATTTGTTTGAGACTTTAACAGTAAATATTCTTTATTTCCATGTTGTTGTTTTTTCTGCTCATCTTAAAAAGTTAATGTTTTCAAGCAGTTATATCTTTACATACAGTACATTAAATTAGGCATTAAAATGAACCAGAACTCAGTATCCTTAACAGTTACATATGAATGTATTTGTGATACATCAATATTAATTGAACATTATGTATGAGCCACTGAGCTGCAAGGGGGGTGGGGCTTGTACTGTATCATCAACTAAAAAACACCTACTAAAGTTACATGTGATATTAACAGCACATGTCTAAGATGTTATCTATAGTTACAGGTTAGGTTAGGTTTGTTGGTACAGTTTTAGGACATGTTTACTGTACTGTACTTTACAGGGTATTAATGTCCCATCTGTTGCAGGAAGGATTCGCCTCATCTCCCTCTCCAGGCATTTATTTAATTCAGTTGTCTTAAGGGTCTCATATTCATTATTTTTTATTTATTTATTTTTTATTTCCATGTCCTGTATTATCCTCTGAAATGAGTTATGGAGTATGGGGAGACAAAATGCATCTTTGGTTGGAGGTACAGTAAAGGATATATATATATATATATATATATATATATATATATATATATATATATATATATATATATATATATATATATATATATATATATATATATATATATATATATATATATATATATATATATATATATATATATATACACAGTGCATCATATGGCTTCTGATCTGTATAACACAAATGAATACTGTACAGTATCCCAGAATGCTTCGATACATTGTCCAAGGAGAGTTCCAGACAGGGAATATAGTACTGTACTTGAACTAACTCTTCAAATATACCGTGTGTCCATAACTTATCTGACCCATTTTAAAGCGTAATGGTGTAAATTTTTATTATACTGTACAGTACAGGTATAGACAGAACATGGTGCACCTGTGGGAGTCTATTGAGATAGTATAATAAATCTAGTGTGCTGTATCCGTCACAGTTATGGGGTTACAGTATTAAGTTTGAACTGTATCACTTCTGTACTGTAGTTATAATTATATAGTATTACAGAGATTTTTATTTTATGTGATTAAAACTTGCAAGTACCTGCGCAGTTGTGATATGGTTAAGAAAATATTTTGTAAAAGGCTTATTGTACTTTATTATTTTTCAGGTGATCTTCTATTGTATGGAGACAGTAAGATCATCCAGGACGTCAGCGGTCCCCTCGCCCAGTGTGCAATGGATCTGCCACAAGTTCGTGAGGCTCTTGTGGAAGTCGGTGGAGCCCTGGCCCTTAACATGCCTGACAGATACTCATACTGGCATCGCATTCTACCCTTGATACTCTTTGGGTAATATTTGTGGAGAAGATTTGAGATCATTTTGTAATACTGTATTGTGTAATGGAATATGACGGTGCCACCTTGTTGTCTCAGAGTTTCATTGGTGATGTTTTACTTATGCATCACCCAGTTAGACATAATGTCATTATTATCAACTGTCTATCCCACTTTTTGTTGATCTTGAAAACTCTTGATTGTCTGATGCTTGACTACATTGCTATATTTTTCTTCAAACAATAACCTTTAAAGCCAGAACGATATACAGTGAGACCTCTATTTAATGGACTATACAGTATAGAGATAAAAGTCTGTTTTATCAAGGGATCGTTAGGTGTGAAAACCCTCCATCTGACAGATTATATGGTAAGAGAAATTCATAATATAGTGGTTTTGCTGTAACTTCTTTTAAATAGTCCCCCAGACTGACCATTACCTGCCTGGAGTTGATCATAGAAAGTAGTATATTTAGGAATCATTCAACCAGTATTTGTGACTCCCATCTTCATGCTGCACTCTCACATCACCAGGTAGAGGGCAGCGAACAATGCTATCTACTGACCTTCACTCATAAGAAGGGGGTTTTGAGAATCAATCATCATTAATGGTTTTTGTGAATAGTCTCAGATACATAAGCTGGGTAACCATGGTGACTATTGGCTGGTTTAGAAGGGGATGGACATTATCGCCTGTAAACCCATGTACTGTATATGTGTGCTGTGCGGGACTCATATCTTAGCTTTTATATTAATTTTCTTATACAGTACAGTGGTCCCTCGGTTAACGGGCACAAGTCGTTCTAGAAGGTTGCTCGTTAACCGAAAAATTCGTTAACCGAAACCATTGCTTCAATGGGTTTTTGGGTAATTGGTTCCAGCTCACCGAAAATTACCTAAAGTCAACAAAAAGGGTAGTAAAGTACACTTACTTTGAGGTGTGTATGTAGAAGGCTCCTGGATGATGATGATGGGAATTAGAATGGGGGTGGAGGAGAACGGAGAAGATAAGGCATTGGGGTGGAAGAGAAGTCACCCCATGGCGCCATTTCACCCATAAAATTTCAGTTCACTTGGTGTAATTAAAGATTATTTTCTTTAAATCAACACTGCACTGCATAAGATATTGTCAATATGTAAAATAAATTTCAAAATGACCAATAATTTGACTGGAAACACAGAAAAAAGCGTTTATGTTGTAGAGAGTCTGAAGCAAGATGTTACTTCCACTAAAAAGACACAGAGACTGACGCCTGTATGGTGTGTTTACAGGCTGTTTGGCGGTCTAAAAACTAGTTTCCCTGTACTGTACTTAAATTATGTTAAATAATTGTTAAAATGACTAAAAATTTTAATGTAAGACTTAAAATTATTGAATAGTGCAAACTTCTTGATATTTACTAAAATAGTAAGGAATTTAAGCCCTAGAACCAATTACTGTATTGGCGGACTAATATGACAAATAGTGTGCAAGCGAAAACATGTGGAGGGGCGCTCGTAAGGAATTCGTTAATCGAGGGAATGCTTGTTAACCGAAGTTAAGAATCTTATGGAAGGTAATTTGTTAACCGAAATTTCATTAACCGAGGCGCTCGTAACCGAGGGATCACTGTATGTGGTCCACGATTCGATTGCAGAGTAATTAGTGGCCAAAATGACCCTTCAAAGATTTTACTGACATGTTTCAGTGCTAATTACTCATCAACTATGGGTTTCCAAGGTGTGATTAGGGTTTGTGTGATATTCTGAAAGTACTTAATAAGTTAAACCCCTTATATTTCAATTCTGCGAAAAAAGTATATTTAGGTCAAAAATTTTGCAAGGTGTAAGACTTACATTTTTTGTGGTTTTGGGCAAAAAATTAGATTTTGCTGGAATCACAGTATGGGTACTCTTGAGCTTGTTGATTATGAATGTGAGGTCCACGATTCGATTGCAGAGTAATTAGTGGCCAAAATGACCCTTGAAAGATTTTACTGACATTTTTCAATGCTTATTACTCATCAACTATGGGTTTCCAAGGTGTGATTTAGGGTTTCTGTGTTATTCTGAAAGTACTTAATTAGTTAAGCCCCTTAAATATCATTTTACAAAAAAAGTATATTATGGTTAAAAATTTTGTAAGGTGTAAGACTTACCTTTTTGGTGGTTTTGTGCCAAAAATTAGATTTTGCTGAAAATCACAGTATGGGTACTCTTGAGCTTCCTGATATGAATATGTGGTCCACGATTCGATTGTAGAGTAATTAGTGGCCAAAATGACCCTTTTACTGACATGTTTCAATGCTAATTACTCATGAACTATGGGTTTCCAAGGTGTGATTACCGGGGTAAGGGTTTGTGTGTTATTCTGAAAGTACTAAATTAGTTAACCCTCTTATATTTCAATTCTGCAAAAAACGTATATTTTGGTCAAAAATTTTGTAAGGTGAAAGGCTTACATTTTTGGTGGTTTTGGGCAAAAAATTAGATTTTGCTGAAAATCACACCACAGTGATTCCTCGGTTAACGAGCGCCTCGGTTAACGAGATTTTGGTTAACTATTTACCTTCCATAAGATTCTTAACTTCGGTTAACGAGCAATCCCTCGATTAACGAGTTTTTTACGAGCCGACCTCAACATGTTTTCGCTTACATTTGGCGGTACAGCTGTAGTATTAGTCTGCCAATACGGTAATCGGTTTTAGGGCTTAAATTCCTTACCATTTTAGTAAATATCAAGAAGTTTATACTATTCAATAATTTTAAAAGTTTAATATTAAATTTTTTAGTCATTGTAACAATTATTGAACTTAATTGAAGGTAAAGACACTAGTTTCATGCGCGCCATCCAGCCTGGCAACACACCAAACAGGCGCCAGTCTCTCTCTCTTTTCAGTGGCGGGAACCTCTTGCTTGAGACTCTCTTCAGATTCAGATTTGCCCCCGAGGGGGCTAGTTTATTGGGCACCCCCTTACATCCTGTGCAAGGTGAAGCGCACAAGCGTTTACAGCGCCCAACAGGGAAGTATGAAAAGTTCATACTTGCCTTTATGACTCGTACATTAAGGGCGTAAAAGCCTGAAGGGTCATAGGTTCTGTCAAGTTACATAAAGTGAGAGAATGATGAGTGTGTGGGGGGAAAGTTCCCGGTACATTTTATCTGTTTATGGCAAAGAGTGGCAGGTCCCTAATAATGTCAAATGCCACGCCTGTGACTAGGAGGAGACTCTCTTCAACTAAACGCTTTTTTCTGTGTTTGCATGCAAATTATTGGTCATTTTGAAATTTAATTTACATATTGACAATATATAATGCAGTGCAGTGTTGATTTAAGGAAAATAATCTTGAATTAAACCAAGAGAACTAAAATTTTATTGGTGAAATGGCACCTTGGGGAGACTTCTCTTCCACCCCAATGCCTTCTCTTCTCCCTTCTCCTCCACCCTCATTCTAATTCCCATCATCATCATCCAGGAGCCTTCTACTGTACATACACACCTCAAAGTAAGTGTACTTTTCTACCTTTTTTGTTGAATTTAGGCAATTTTCGGTGAGCTGGAACCAATTACCCAAAATCCCATTGAAACAATTGGTTCGGTTAACGAGCAACCTGCTGGAACGGATTGTGCGCGTTAACTGAGGGACCACAGTATGGGTACTCTTGAGCTTGCTGATATGACTATGTGGTCCACGATTCGATTGCAGAGTAATTAGTGGCCAAAATGACCCTTGAAAGATTTTACTGACATTTTTCAATGCTAATTACTCTTCAACTATGAATTTCCAAGGTGTGATTTAGGGTTTGTGTGTTATTCTGAAAGTACTTAATTAGTTAAACCCCTTAAATTTCAATTCTGCGAAAAAAGTGTACAGTCAACCCTCGCTTTACGCGGTCCCACATTCCGCGTTTCCACGTTTACGCGGTACCCTGCCGAAACAGGAATGCTCACATTCCACGGTGCGTGTACCCCTTTACGCGGAGAGCGGCTGGCGAGCCGCGCCATTTTTGGATCCAAACCTCCCGCCCTCTCCCGCCATCCGCCATGTTGTGTAAGCAGCGCGAGCAGGGTGCACACAAGGTCGCCCAGTCATGAAAAAATTACTGAGTTCTTCACCCGCCACCCACCACAGCCGGCCCAAGTCAGTGATAGTGATAATTATAGTGAGGATATGGACTTATATGGACTTTGAGGGGTTTGACAAAGAGGCCCTGCAAGCCTCTGTGGTGGATAGTGATACAATTGATACAAGTGATACAGGTGAGGGCCAATAATCTGCCCTCTGCCTCGGAACCAACCGCCCATCCCCGTGTGCCCAGCCATCTTTTCTACTAATGTAAGTGTTAAAAAGCCTAATATTATTGATATTTCTCTTAATTATTAATTATGTGTGCATACCATCATAAAGTTAAGATAAAATTTTTACTACAACATAGTTGTGTGTCGTCAAAAAGTGGAGTTTGTGGGTCGGCCCGGTCTCTATTTCAATTAATCCCATATGTTATGTTGTTCACTTTACGCGTTTCTCACTTTACGCGGGCCGCCGTGGGTTCAATTGACCGCGTAAAGTGAGGGTTCACTGTATAAAACTTTTAAAATTATTGAATAGTACAAACTTCTTGATATTTTCTAAAATAGTAAGGAATTTAAGCCCTAGAACCGATTACTGTATTGGCGGACTAATATGACAGCTAGTGTGCAAGCGAAAACATGTGGAGGGGCGCTCGTAAGGAATTCGTTAATTGAGGCAATGCTCGTTAACCGAAGATAAGAATCTTATGGAAGGTAATTCGCTAACCTAAATTTCGTTAACCGTTTCGCTCATTAACCGAGGGATCACTGTACCTGTACCTGTATTCTTATGCTATTTTCTGGTCATTGGATTCTTTAATTCAATATTTTGGGGGACCCCAAAGCTGTGACCTTCCTCTAGGAGCCACTGAAGGTTATTATAATTTAAGTGTTACACAACACTTGTGCTATACCTACACCCTGTATACCACTGTGTGTGTTGGTGTCTTGGTAAGATGTGCAGCGCGAGGACGTGGACATGCTACGTGTGGGAGGGGGGGGGGTATTAACGAGGTCATCATATTTGATTTTTCTGGAAGCTTTTTTTATTTGAGTGTGGATATAAACAGGGAAGTCATACAGTACCTATTTTTCATGAAGTCTTCTTTGTGATCTTGTTCTGAGGGAAAATGTGTATGTGTGTCTCTCTGGCTGTACAGTACTGTAGATGGCATTAACTGTAGAGCACCAGGGTATAATTTAGAAGATGGCTTGTTAGCAGTACAATACCTCCTTTACACACAGTAGGCATAGCTAACAAGGTGGTTCTGTTATAGTGTGTCAGTGTGGTATCCATGTCCTGGCTATAGATCACAAAACATTAGGTGAACACAAGCATATATATGAGTCTAAAAATAAAACAAAATCCTGTTTGGAAGAGATTAGATAAATATTTATAGTTAAGGAAAATTATATACACTGTACTGTTTAGTAATTATGTACTGTACTGATATGTATGTAATGAAATTATCCCCATCCAGTTTATACACTATACTGCACTGTATTTTCCCTATCAGGCTGAGGGATGACGATGATGACGTTAGACAAAAAGCTGAGGAGCTGTGGGTGAAAGTTGGACTCAAGTACGAAGAGGAGAACATTGATCACTTGAAACAAGATATTGATTTCGATGTGACTCTAGAAAACTACCCAGAAGGAGGTAAACTATTGCTAATAGATTGTTAGTTTTGAAGTAAAGGCATAAAAATAAAAATCACAATGTATTCTTTTTTATATACCATAGACTGTTGACTATGTAGATAAATGTTATAAGTATCTTTGAGCAAAAATGGCATCTCATTAACATTAAGAACACCAGATTATGTCATTTGTTGATTAAACATACTACAGTATTGCTAATGTAACCCAACCCCCCATAAGCATTAGGTTGTTTGATCATCAGGTGAAATATACTGTGATTCCTCATCTTATATTAGAACACAATAGGTTATCATTATATTGTATGTCATCCCTCAGAAAAGCGACCTAGTGTTGGGTGTCGAGTCCTTGTCCAGCGTGCTATATATCACATTCTTCCCGGCTTAATGACCGACATGGACGACTGGCAGGCAGGACCTAGGCTCCAGGCAGCTAAACTCTTGACTGTGTTGATCCTTAATGCCGATGTGGGAATAACCCAATATGCAGAGAAGGTCCTCGTGGGCCTCCACCTTGCAGCGGGAGACAAAGAAAAGAGTGTCGTAAAACAGGTTGGTGAAATGCATTAGAATCTCAAAAAGTCTCCCTCATGAAATTCAGAATAATAATTAAAAAATAGCACTCATTGGTGGAAGCTAGCTGTTGGGCTGGCAGCCATCATTGGTGATGTTAGCTGTAGGGACAGAGGCCATCATTGGTGGAAGTTAGCTGTAGGGACGGTGGCCATCGTTGGTGGAAGTTAGCTGCAGGGATGGTGGCCATCGTTGGTGGAAGTTAGCTGCAGGGATGGTGGCCAACATCAGGGGAAGTTTCATGTTTGTTGTATACCATTTTTGTGTATATGGTCGAGGTGTGAGTAATCCTTGGCCGCCAATTAAGAACTAAGATAAATGTGTACAGGGTATACTGTACAGTATTTGCATCTTGAAAATAAATTTGACAACTCTCTGGTCATGGTGCTGGCATATAAAGATATTTATTTGTATGTACGGACTTGGGATGTATGATTAATAATGACTAATATAATAAGAGAATTAATGTTACTTCAAATGCTCAAAATGTGAAGTAGGTTTGCGTTGCTGTGGTGATGCATATGATAAAAAGATAGGTTTTTAAAGTTTTCTCTCTGGGGCAAGTCAGATGTTGGGAGGGTAAGGAGGGAGAAATCAGGATATATTCATTGTGTTGGTGAGAAAATGATTTGATTATTGTTTATACATACAGTATTTTAAATTGATTATGGTTTGTGACAGGTTACCGAGTGCAGTAGATATCTTGGGCACTTCATACCTCCATCCACGTACCTGCCTCTCATCCTGCCCAGGCTGAATATGGGTGAACAGGGGGAGCGGCCTTTAACTATATTAGCCGCTCTGGTGGAAGGTACAGCGAGTTCTCAGCTTCAAGATAATGTCAAAGAGATCATGAACACAGTTGCCTCTGAGGGTGTAGCTTTTGTATCTCATCACGAACACCAGGGAGCACTTCTTCAGCTGACACAAGTGATAATAACAAAGTGCGACGTAAGCGAAAGTAGTTTTGACATTTTCCATATTCTATTGTTTGTCGCATCGTCGTCTGAAGTCAACTGTATCGTCAACTCGGCTCTAAATCAACTGGATATTTTAGCAAGAAAAACTGGATGTGCGGAAACAGGCGGACTGTACCGAAAGCATCTACATGCGACCTTTAAGACTCTTCTGCCATCTGCTAGTTGCTGGACTGAGACTACTCCCCAGTTCCTGATGTTTGTGGGACTGATGGAACTAGCAGGTAAGGAGGTGTCCGTCAGGCTTTATAATACCGTAGCTCACATTTTATTTTTTTGTAATTAGCTATTGTACATTTTAGTCATCAAAGTCAACATGAAGTCTTGCCGTCTATTCAACCTGTATAAGTGTTTAGCATGGCAGTGTCAAATTGGTCATCCACTTGTTTGTATGGGTATGGTGCATGGACTGTGGATGGGCGAGGAAGAAGCGAAGTAGACATGACAGGAATGATTTGGGGTGAACAGGACACTACAGAGAATAAGAAATACATAAAGAAGAGAAAATTTTTTGAAAAGCAAGACTTTTAGACAGAGGGAGAGAGAGAGAACCAAAAATTTGCTCAGGTGGAGTGAATGTTCACTCGGTAAAAAAACTACCGTTACAATTCCTGCGCGAAACAAACTGACACCACAAACAAAGTGTTTCAAAAAGGCCCCTGAGGTATCCCTCACATTGGTAACCCTACTTGTGTTTGGGTTCGGCCACACGTGCTAGAAACAAGTGATCGGCACTCTGAAACGAAACCCAGTACTGTACTAGACTTTCCGGAATTATCGACCGTGTGGTAAAACGTCGTTGGGCCCGGGTTCCATTATGAAGGCATGTGAAACTGTGGAGCTATTCAGCTGTTTCAGAACAGCTTGGTATATTTTTTGATATGAATAAAGAATGACATAATGTGGCATTAGCCCAAAGTTAAGTAGCAATACAAGTACAGATTCGAAATTCGGTTGCAAAATAATCTTATACCTTTACTATATCCACTAATCCTGCCAAACATATAATGCATTCCCTTATGGCAACTCATCCACTTCCATGGTTACTGTAGTCCACGGTGTGTGGAACATTTAAAATCACGTACAATTTAACTTATTTAGATACAGTATACACGTACTGACATTTTCCAGTCATATTGTAACAAAGTACAGTACAGTAATTCAATATTGTCAATGAAATAACTAATTTCGGCCTACTAAATTAAGTATGAAATGTCTCACATTCAGGCCTACCAACCCTCGCGAGACAACGGGAATGTTCAGTTGGAAAATCATCGGACACCACCTGTACGGTAGTTTTTTTACCGTGTGTACGGTAAATGGATAGAAGGAGTGAAGGATGCATAGAAGAGAAGAGTGAAGGAAGGAAGGGGAGAGTATGGATAACCAGAAGTAATACTACGTGAACGGCAAGAGAAAATGGTGTTTTTGTTGTTGGTTTTTTTTTGGGGGAAAGAACTTAAAAGGAGTGAGGTTACTGGTGATGGGTGATGCAAGACTGTGTGAAATATTAGAGAGATAGGACAGATATTGTATATATTTGAGGCCTTGTTGTGTGAGAAGAACACCTTGGTTATGGCTGCTGTGAGAATGATTTAAGGACACAATGAATGGAGTCTGTGTTTTATAATTCTTTTTTATCTGCTCTCTTTTTTCTTCTAGTGTATTATTATTAGTAGTAGTATTACAGTCTATTATTATTATGATATTTATTATTAGTACTATATTACAGTATTATTATGATTGACATTATTGTTAGCTATTATTACAGTAGAATCCCAGTTACCGGTATATTGTGTACAAAAAATAGCTCCTTCCACACTCAAAACATCCTCTGGGCAGCATGACACAGTTCAGCCAGGTAGTTACCTAGCTGACTCACAGGCATGTGGCTGCGTGTATACCATGACATCACGTGGGAGGAAGCGCTGCCATGCTGTTATAACCCACTGCCTCCGCACACATTCTCTTCCCACATATACACACCCATGCTCTTCATTTTTCTTATTATTTATTTTTTTTTTCATTTTTTTCTGGGCTGCATTAAGGTACAGTATTGTAATGATTTTTTGACGACTTTGATAGTTTCATTACATGTAATAATAAACATGGCGAGTGGGCTGACGAGTCAGTGATGCAGTACAGTAGTAGCCCACCGCCTCCACACACATTCAGTTCCCATGCTCTTAATTTTTCTATTTTATAGTTTTATACTTGTATTAAATTTTCTTTATTTCTAAGCCACACCATTTTTATAGAGTGGAATAAGTGTTAGAGAAGTCTTTTCTTCTGAGACACGAGTTTGTGACGTTAGCCTGTAGCACTGTGCATTGTAGGATTTATTTGGGGATTCCGGGAGTTTGTTTTAGCTAACCGGAAAATCTCTTTTTCCAGCACTTGTCAATCCCCATTGGTGCCAGATTATCTGGATTCTACTGTATTAATATTATTATTATTATTATTGTTAGCTATTATTATTACAGTATTATTATTGTTATTATAAATTATATATTTATTATTATTATTATTATTTTTATTATTACAGTATTATCATTACGTACTGTATTATTATTATGTTTTCAGGCCAAGCTATAGGATATGAACTGGAGCTCTTTGTCCAACTACTGACAGAGTGTGTACCCAGGAAGCACGACTCTTTTGTTAGTTTACGCTGTTTAACTAAGCTGAGGGGCCTTCTCCTTCACGATGATCATCCTCTTGAGTCACATGATCAGCTTGGGCAGTGGCTTCCTATTCTACTGTCAGGTTGGTATAAATGATTGGTATTGTAATGTAGGATTAAGACATGACATAGCGTACAGGTACTCCTCTGCATACAGTGAGACCTCCACATAACAGACTTCTCTCCCAATATAACAGACCTTCGATGTAATGGACTATCATGTTAGGGGCCTGTCCCACAATTGGTTTCCCTCATATCGGTTTAATAGGAAACAGTATGTCTGCTATACTAATCATCAATCTGACTCCTCACCAATTTTGTATGGCATCCCTCAAGGTTCCATTCTCATTCCAGTACTGTTTTTGGTGTACATAAACGATATAGTCCTCGCCAGCACACTCATAAAACACAACTTATTTGCAGACGGTAGTAATCTCTATGCCAGCAACTCAGATCTCCATTCCTTGATGAGAACTATGAACACTGAATTGACTAAAGTCAGGACCTGGGTAATACGTAATAAACTGACCTTAAACCTCGAAAAAACCCACGTCACGATCTTTCACAGAAGGAAAAACTTACCCCAAGATTTGTATCCCCAGTACCTTGGTAATACAATCATCAAACGTGAGCAAAATACTAAATTCCTTAGGGTCATTGTTGATGAGAAACTTAGCTGGAGAACCCACATACAAACCATTCACAGTGAAGTCAATAAACAGTGCGGTATCATGTATCACACTCGACAGTCACTCACTCTCACAGCAATGATGAGGGATAATTTTCCGGGTTTGAGAGATGATGTAATGGGCAATTTCTGGAACTTCCGAGAAAATTTTTCCATTACCCGGAAAATTCCTGAAAATTCCGGGGATCAGGGATTTTTTTCCGGCTTTGAGAGAGTCATCTCGTTATCCAGAAATCCCTCTTTCCCAGAAGTGCTCTGCACCAATTGTTCCGGCTAATGGGGATATCACTGTACCTGCTTTAATCGTACCACCAAAACGGTTTTATCAGAAATTATCATGTAGATAGATAGAAATTACTATTGCAATAAATATATTTGCCAACTAGACATAATCCTGACAGCTCTCTCCTCTTGTTCCACCTTAATGCAACCCATGTTGTACTGCTTCCCTCAATATATTTATGTTTTTTAATTCTATTGTAAATTATGTACTGTATGTACTGTACAATACAGTGGGGTATGCTATAACGAACGGATCCTACTACGAATATTCCTATAACGAACGGTTTTACCTATAAAATTGAGAATGCTATAACGAACGCAACTCCTACAACGAACGCTGATGAATACGGGACTATTTCGCCTGGCACATGAATATTGTTGTACCGCGACCCACAACAAGAGCGTCAGGCGCCATCTTTGTCTCATTGTGTAGCCAGTGCACCACTGTTATTGTTGAAATTTCGTCTTTTGATGTGGAAATTCGCGTTATTTGTATAACTATTTTGTTATACAAGTATACAATTGTAAGAATGAGTCGTCCAAAGCGAGTGAGAAAGCTAATAACCCTTGAAACAAAGAAAGAAATTATATAGAAACGTGAGAATGGAAGAAGCATTGCGAAACTTAGTGATGAATATGGGATGGCTAAATCGACTATATGTACGATTTTGAAGAATAAAGAGGAGTTAAAAACTGTGCAAGTGGCTAAGGGAATCTTTAGACTTAGCAAAGCAAAGTGTAATGTGATTGAAGAGATGGAAAATTTACTCTTAGTGTGGATAAAGGAGAAAGAAATGGCAGGTGGTAACATTACTGAAGCTATAATTTGTGAGAAGGCCAGACAATTGTTTGAGGACCTTAAAGCCAAGACTCCCAGTGGAAGTGATAGTGATGTGCCAGTGTTTAGGGGTACCTGCATGCTGAATAACACTAAGGTAAGATAAAGTACCGTATTTTTTACATTTTCCACAGAATTTTTTCAGTGTTAAGTGGTTGTATTTGGGGGCCTGGAACGGATTAATCCTATAACGAACGAGGTTCTGGAACCAATTACGTTCGTTATAGCATACCCCACTGTACTTATAATATAAGTGTAAAAAAAAAATAAAAAAAAAATAAATATCGAAGTGGTAACCGTGGTAACATTCTGATATTTTCTTATCACCACCATGCTATTGTACTATTCCAGATGAAACTAAATGTTACATAATACTTCCTTGAGATAAATGTACAGGTACTCCCGACTTACAAAGGGGTTAGGGACCGACATCCAGGTTGTAAGTCGAAATGGTCGTAAGTCAGAAATGCTTAAATAACACATGGAAAATCGAGAATGGGGGTCTCTATTTCTTCTCAGCACCATGAAACACTCACTTTTAAGCTTGCCAGCCATTTTAAAGTGAATTACAGATGAAAATTTTGTCTGTGTACTGACTTTGGGACTCGAAAATATGTAATTTGACCAAATTTTGGTACAACTGAGGCAGGTTGTCAGTGCGGATGGACGTAAGTCGAGTAGGTCGCAAGTCGGAGAGTACCTGTACAGTATACATCAGGTGCCTACAAGAGAGCTCAGGCTCTCAACTGATTCAGCCATGTTAATATTATGATTTTTAATTGACTCTGTATCTGTGTTCTCCTAGCTAAATAAACTGTTTCAATATCAACTTCAATATAGTTCATTAGATGGAGGTTTTACATATATGGACTCTCAATATAACAGACTTTCATCTCCACTGCAGGAACATTTGACTTACAATGCTTCAGACATACGAACAAACTTCTCCAAATGTCCAATTGACTGTTCGAACCTTCTTCAAGATTAATATGGCTGGAAAGATACACTATACTCACAGATACTCACAGATGATCTTCTGGAAGAGGCTCACGCCTGTGACTCCAGCTCAATAGAATAATGGGCTGCATTAATTATTGAAGTATAGTTGTACTGTACAGATACATAGATAGATACTTCAGATACATACATACATACATACATACATATATATACATACATGGCATGCTCAGGAGTACAGGCAGTCCCCGACTTATGATGGGGTTAGGGACCCAAATCCAGGTCGTAAGTCGAAAATACAAAAATTAATACATAGTAAATCTAAAATGAAATACAGTGCAGTAAAAGTAATCAATAATGAAGAATGATACAGTGTTACTGTGCACTTACCTTTAATGTAGTCAGCTGAATGCACACAGGGCCCCAATAATTTTTTAATTAAACATGGCGACTACATTAATTGGATGAAGGAGAGTGGAGGAGACAGGGCTGGGTGAGTCATCAATTTTGCTTTCTAAAGACAGGCTAACATACTTGCTTGTTGAAGGTATTGGATCATCTTTAGGGAGTGAAGAGGCAGCACTGGTGGGGCGTGAGGAGACAACAGTGGGGGACTTTAAAATATATGTCCAATTTTGACTGCACAGTTTGCCTTTTCTTTTCATTGTAAATATCCCTGTAGCAAGCAAGTGCATCTTGGATCATTCTGTCAACTTTTGCAAAACGCTCAACATTTTGATCCATTTCGTCAAACATTTACATCCCCTTATTAATAGTAGCAAATGCCTCTGCCATTTGTTTCTTCTGACCACCAGAACTCTCACTTTTACGCTTGCCAGTCATTTTAAAGGGAATAAGAACCAAAAATATTAAAACTAGTGTCAGTACACTGCTCGATCACTACCGACAACAACGACGGCCAAACACCAACTGAGCGCACTATGGCGTGGACGCTGTACACCACGAGGCGGCCCAGCCCACGCCACGCTCTCGTATGTCGAGTAAGTCGTAAGTCGAGGACTACCTGTATCTATAATGTAATTTTCAACAAAATCTAATTTTGGGTTTAACAAACTGGAAACCCATACTTGGCGAGTAATTAGCATTGACAAATATCATTAAATTTTCCAAGCATCGTTACAGCCACTAATTACCCCGCAATCGAATCGTGGACCATATTTTGAAATTTACATACATACATTCAGTATATACATACAGTACATACATTAAATCCTTGATGACTCGGCACATATGGGGCTCTGGCCTTGCCGAGTTATCCCAAATTCCGACTTATCGAGGCACCACCCTCCACCTCCTCCCACAAAAAACAAAAACAAAAATATTTATCTTAGTAGGGGACACAGAAGTTTGGTAGGTGACACAGAGGCATGGTAGGTGATGCAGGTGACCAGATATGCCGTGATTTACCCGGATAATTTTATATATCATGGCATTTCCTGAGTTATACTAATACATTCCGAGACCATATCCATGCTGAATTATATGAAATGACGAGTTATTAAATCCCAAGTTATCGAGGGTATACATTCATATAGATAGATAAATAAATAAGTAGATACAGCAGATGTATAGATAGATAGATATTTAATTGTTACCTTATATAATAATTAATCATCAAAGGAATATTTTTGGTATGTTTCAGAGTGTATTGCCGTGTTGTTGCCGTGGCACGCTGGACGCACGGCGGACACCCTGAGAACTGCCTCCGTGGCCTGTCTGGAGGCTGTATGTAGAGTGTGTGTGAGAGAAGCCCGCATGGTTGAAGGTTAAGAGTCCTCAAGTAGCTCTTTATTATGGGTTTTGAAACTTTGAATTCCATTTTGGTGCATAAGTTATACTTTTTTATTTATTTATTTTCCTTCCTAACCCTATAGAGAATATTTTAAATTTTCAGTGTATTTTTATCTGCATTTACAGTGATTTTGTTTAAATCCGTGTTATATATACTCTATCAAGAGGGGCTTCAGTATTTTATTACTACAGGGTAGTTAGATTATATTATACTTTCAGTCGAGCAATTAGTTATAATGAAGATGTTTGGTAAAAGTAAAGTGAGGATTGTTGCTGGTAGTTCTAACAGCTGGTTTAGGTATAGATGTGAGGATAATCATCATTTGCTTTATGTAACTTTGGGAGGGGGATATGCAAGATTTATAGTGATCAGGCAGGTATTCTTATTTTTTTATCCAAAGAACTTAATTTGGGTACAAATTGCACTTTAAAAATTTGAAATGCTTGGGACCTGAGCCATTTTGGTAACTGAAAGTCATTATAAAAGAACCCTAATACTGTATTTCAGTAAGCACGAAATAGAATACAGTTAAACCTTGATAAACGATGGGGTTAGTTTCCTGTAGAATCTATTGCTTAGGAAGATGTCATAGATCAGGCTCATTATAACATGAGGTTCAATGGGATACGTTCCCAGCCAGTCCCCAAACATACATGTATCACTGACAAAAAAAAAATCAACACTTATGAAATCAATAGAAAATAATTAAACAACACTCAGCACATCATGAAGAACAAACCTGGTTATCATCTGTCACTAACACAGAGCAAAAGCCCTTAACTGTGAGAAAAAAAAACAGCGATGACAACGCAAGCACAATGATATCGGCCAACACAGATCACATGTTCAAGAAACCAGAGGCAAAACACTTTACAGTCAAAAAAAAAAAATATATCACTTCACAGTCACCATAACACCATTCAGTCTAATTGTTATTGCTGTCCTCTCACTATAAGAAAAAAAAAGCACCGATGATAAGTACAATGTTCAGTACATACAGCCAACGATGCTGAACGATAATCATGGAGCTACACGATGACGGGTAGATGCGATCAATAAAGAACCAGGCGCAGGACTGTAGTGTGTAGGCTGGCCATGTGGCGGCACACGGCTAGATATTACCGCGGCTGACAAGTGCAGTGAGAGCTGCGTTACCTATGGTGGTGCATAGGGTTAAATATTTTTTCCTCAGAAAATGTCGCTGACTTAATGTAAAAAATATAATTTGCATTGCTGGAATCCTTGCAAGACAGCGATTAATTTGAGTATTGTACTGTATATGCAACCCATAGTTTGCACTAGAGTTTAAAAAATACTTTTACAACCAATGAATATTGACGGATATCATTAATGTTGCAAAATGGTCTTAATTCATGACCATCGTTAAAGCTGAATATCGCTGAACAAGACATCGCTTATTGAGGTTTACCTGTTCTGTATGATAATGGTAAACTGAAATTCAACTAAGTATGTAAAATAATGAATAAGGTTAATAATAATACAAAAACAAAAACAGTACAGTTATTTATTTATGTACACTTGCTCCAAATATTATCTACAATTAAAGATTTGGAAATGCTGTGTAGGCCTCAATTTTTGTTCTGGGTTTTTGGATAACAGATGTTCGGATATTTGAAGTGCAACCTGTAAGAGAATAATTTGCAGTAGAATGAGATAGTGTGGAGACAAAATTCATTCTCCATTTTATGTCTCTATTGTGTTTCATTCTTTTTTACTCAAGGAGAATCTTTTTATCTTTTTTGCAGAGCTTAAGAAGTGTTCAGCCATCATCCCAGCATTGATAGAGGATGACGCGGAAGACACCCGCCTCTTCACCTGTGACGTGATATACGCCATTATCGTCAGCTATCCTCAGATAATCGATTCAGAAACCTTACATATATTTGCTGATAGTAAGTTGATCCCTCTCTCCGATACTGTACTGATAGTTATACTGTGAAGGATTGCACGCCATTTCTACAGTGTATCAGTGTTCTAGTTCAGAAGGTGACCTCATCATCGTCATCATCATCATCTTTATCATCCTCATCATCAGTTTTACAGCCATTTCCCATGTTTGACTTAATAATAATATACTTTTTTGTGATTACTAAACCTGATGTCTTTATATTAGTAGGGTATTTAAATGTATTGTAGGTATGGGCATTTAAATGTATTGTAGGTATAGAGTTAATAGCCTTCTCTATTACTTCTGGTCACATAACACATCACCATTCTTCTCCTCAACAGAACTAGTGAAGAGATTTGATGACGTGGCACCACAGATAAGACTAAAGGCAGCTCGTGTTTTAGCCGAGTTGTTTAATAACTTGCCCAACAGATACGATCCCATACTGCACACAGCCCGACTACAAGACCTTTACGATGCTGCGGTGATCTTCCTTGATGATCCTGATGCTAAACTACAAGAAGCTGTGTTATGTGAGTGATTATGTTTAAGGTGGAAAATGGATATAGAAATTAAGGAATTATGCTGCTCTTTGTTAATTAATGAGCCTTAAAATAATGAAAAGACATTTGAAGTACTTCAAATGTCAATTACGCTGTGTCCGTAAGTTTTAAACCACCTTTATATACATTTTCTCTATATTGATGCTTTAAACACATTAGTTTTCAGTTCCAGAAAAGGACATATTACTGTGAAAATGACGTCTGACCTATTACCCATTTTCATAAAATTTCATACATTGGTATAGTACTCTTTTACATGCTGGTTAAGGATCTAGGTTCAGAATAAAAAAATTGAGTACAGTAATTAGTGTTAATTAATTAGCTTTGAAAATATTAATCCTTAGACAGTGGCAAAACTATACTGTATATAGATTGTCCAAAAACTAGTCGTCAAGTAACATGAGTCTAAATATATGTGCCCCTGGGAGGGTCCCTGGGGGTGCTGCCATCCTTGGGAAGGTCCCTGGGGTTGCTGCCACCACTGGGATAGTTACTGTGAGAGTCCTTGAAGGTCCCACCCTCTCTGCAAGGGGCCCTGGAAGCACCGCCGCCCCTGGGAGGGTGTCTGGAGGCCCTGCCACCCCTAAGAAAGCCCCTGGGGGTGCTTTCACCCTTTGGAGGCCCCATGGAGGTGCTGCCATCTCTGGGAGGGTTTTTGGGGATATCATTTTTGTCAACTATCTAAATTTTATGTTATTTTCATTTACTGTATTAGTTTGTGGAGGTAAGTTTATATGTTGTAATATTTACTCTACTCTTTTGATTTCAGTTACTCTAGAGAAAATGGGAAGTGTGTGTCCTGGCCTGCTCATCACAACATTGGAGAAAGATTTACATAAATACCGCAATGCTCACTATTGTCGTAAGCTCATTGATTCCCTGAAGGCTCTCCAGGTGACGTAAGTAAATTAATGTGAATGACAATTGTACAGTAATACCTTACCTATTTTTATTTTGGTTTATTTTTATGAATGTAGTAAATTTATATTTTGTCATATGTTTGCTTCTGGTATCAAGATTATGTCATTTACATGTAGTTTAGGCAAAATGCAAGTAAATATTGTATAAATAAGAGAACGCTTCTCAGAAATTGTAGTAAAGTAAGAAAAATCCATTTATACAGTTTAGTGATAATTAAAGAATTACTTGGAAAGACTAAAGCGGTAATGTGCCAGGTGTAATTTTCAAATATGTATTTTCAAAAATTTTCCCAAGTTCATTGAATTACACCTTTTAGACAATATTGGTTACTTAAAATCAGAGCTGTAGGATAAGGTAGAGAATGGCTAGAGTTAATTAATTTTAATCTGTATGGTACATAAATAATAGTGTCACAAATGAATTAAGTAAACTGTTACTTCTTGGGGAAAAACAATAAATAATAGGGCTAAAAGCCATAGAAGATATGAAATTGCAAGGGTTTTGACAACTTTACTAACACAATATGTACATTATGGATATGGCTTAGACAACTAGCAAACCTTGAGTTGGCTTCAGCAGTTGCTTTCTGTACCTTATGTCATGCAGAAAGTGGGTGGCAGGTTACTGTTTATTCTTGTCACACAAATGTTCTTAATATGATAAGCATCTTCCATGGATCATCTATTATAAGGCACAATTTTCAAGGGATTGAAATTATTTCCTCATTAAAACAGAATAACTTGATTTTGTGCAAAACTTCAGCTGGACTTAATTATGGGAAATGGATGGTAGTAACAAGGATCTAAATTATAAAGCACTTTTAGCTTGTATCATTTTAATATTTAAAACTTGTTAAACAGGTATTGTTAAGCACGTAGATAGCTATAAGTGAATGTTAACTATCTCTAGAATGTTGTTAAAGATCTTTAAGCAGAGAATATGGAGCATCACTCTGCGGACCTGTGGTATACAAGGTTGGTGTCATCTACAACTGTGTTTCATACTCATGGGAGCATAAACCACAATGCGATTTGTGAAGTCCAAGATAGGCTGAAAAGCACATGGGTTTTGGAGTCACAAAGCTTGCATGTTTAGCATCTTTTGAACTGGTGGTGGCACATATCTGTTTGAAGCTTGAGTAAGGCTATACTCTTTTAGGCATACATAGGGAAGATTAATACAATAAAAAATGCACCCAAGTTCTAAATTACTTTTTTGTTACTGTAGAAAAAACTTATATTCCAGTTCATAACGAATAAAGATTTTATTGCCTTCATCTCGCAAAACAAACGTCTTGTTTTGGTAATTAATGTTTAATATCCCTTTTATGTGCTGATTACGAACAGCTGTTCCGGAATTAATATTTGTGCTTTGATTAAGAACCAAGGTAAAGCATCTATGTATCATCAATGTATCTAAATGGCAGGCTCATACAGCAGCTCTTGATGATAAGCTGAAACTGGTGCATTATCACAGCTCTAACCCTTCAGTCCTCATGGTGTTCTGTCAGTAACATGCAGAATATATTTTACTCCCAGTTTTTTTTGTATTGTTCATCCATGGTTACTAAAAATTTTCCTCCAGAATACTGTATATGTCACTTGAATAAGCCAAATGGAGACACTGTACTTCCTCTGAATTCAAACAAATCTATTAAATATTCTTACATACAGTATATATAATATATAATCATCCCCCAAAAAACGTACAAAACTTTTCCATCATTAAAGCTCTTATGTTTATATTCAAGAATTGCAATCACTTTATAATTCTATATGGAATAACATGATGACACAGCATTCATTTATGACTATTTACAATTTCGCAACAGGTGGAAGGGACACTACTCAGACCATATAATGCCATACATCAGGCTACTTATCACTAGAGGGACCAGAAAATCCTTCTAGACACTTAAAGACTCTCCTATCTGATATGTACAATGGATGAACAAAATATTCCGGGTAATATCTTGACAGACCGACTTATTAGTTAAAAAATAAATATTAGACCAATTTCATTTACAAATTAAAAAAAAATATATATATATATAATCTCAGATAAAACGGTGTGAAATCTGTAAACAAACACTCGGCTGTTAATTTATATCATTATTAGTTGTTGTCTGTTAAGTTATTAATTAGATTTGCATGTTTAATGTCAGGTCACATGTGAACTATGAAATGTCATTTTCAACTGAAACTTATCTAGTTGGTGATTCAAAACAACTTCATAACACATGTACACTTTAAAGAAAAAATATACAGGGACCCATTTTCACCAGGCAACATCATCACAGGTTCCCACTCAGAGATAAACAGTATTATCATGGAGGTCGGGAAGTCACACCTCATATTACAATAAGTCCACCATTCATCTGGATTCCCTCCTTAAGACGAACTTCCAACTTTGTTGATGAGGTCATCACAAAGTTGTGTTAGTTCTTGATTCTCACGAGTTTTTCGATCAAATGAATCTTGTAGAGACATTATTTTCATTTCTGCCTTTTTGAGAAGAGCAGCCATTTTTGTCATTTCTTGATCGTTAGCTTTCCTCATGGTTTTAAATTCTTCATTGGCCCTGGATGGGAAAAGAGAAATATTGATAAGTTAAAACTTAAAAATAAATTACTACCATTAAACTATAAAGTGATATCCCCGCTAGCCGGAATAATTGGTGCAGAGCAGCTCCAGGAATGAAAGATTTCCGGGTAAGGAGACAAATTTTCTCATCCCTGGAATTTTTTCTGGGTACTGAAGAAAGTTTTCTCTAAACAATTACATCTTGCACGGACACCACTGTGTACATACAATAAACAAAATAATGTATATCCTGTACTACTACTATACAGTCAGTCCTTGACTTACGACAGGGTTAGGGACCGACGACCAGGTCTTAAGTCGAAAATGCAAAAATAATACACAGTACATAGAAAATCTAAAATGGGTGTCTCTTTTTATTCTCAGCACCACGAGAACGCTCACTTTTACGCTTGCCAGCCGTTTAAAGGGAATTACAGACGAAAATTGTCAGCACACAGCGCGATCACTAACGTCGGGACTTGAAAATACGCAATTTGAAAAATATTTTATACAACTGCGGCGGTCTTAAGTCGAGGAGTACCTTATTGTACTCAACCCACCAAATGATGTCATCTTAAGCTTGTGACGCAGACAGACCAAATGGTGATATGAGAAAGGATGGCCTGCCTTTGTCCTGTACCATCTACTGTAGCAGCTTTTACTAACTGTCACTCTCTTCTCCCTCTACGAAGGAGAGATTGTACAATCACTGTACAGGGGGTCCCCGACTTATGAATGGGATTAAACTTGAAAGTTACAGTATTTTATATACCTGATGACTTATTTTTTACTTTCATTTGCTATATTTTGTCATTCTATTTCTTAACTTTGTCTTAAATTAAGAGAATTTAGATGTATATAGGGACTCGGGCTATGATATAGTGGGATTTTAAACATTGTTCTGCAAGTACGGTATGCACATAGCATGTGTTCCGACTTACGTACAAATCCGACTTAAGAACGTCCTCAGGAACGGAACCTGTTTGTAACCCGAGAACCCTCTACTGTATATACACACTCTACACACTAGCATACTGTACACTGTCCACTGCTATGTACAGTACTATACATCTGGTACTTTCACACTTATTGTACAGTACAGTATATGTAACTGTAATCACTTTGTCTTAACACCGCTTTAATGGTATTCTTGGCCAATTATATGTTGGTACAGTAGTGTACTACTGCAGATCGTATGCAAAAACAGCAGAGAGTGAGTAAACAAGCTTGTACAATGAATTAAGAATGGATTGATGCAAGAGTTTGAGGAGATAGGCTGCAAAATACATCAACCAATCATATGACAGAAGTGGCCAACCGTAGCTCACGAGTACTCTGAGCTTGCCCAGCACAGGTCTCCCTCATTGGAAACATGATTCAATCTCATGGAATTCATCCTCATGTCTGGATTGTAGAGTGTGTCTCAGAATCATCAAGGAAATGAGCAGTTCCATCCTAGGAAATTTTTTTTTCCCATGCCCGGATTGGAAAGATTTTTCCCGGAATTTCTTGGAAGGCTCCCCCAAAAATAATTCCCAGCTACAGTATTGGAGGGTTCTGGGGATCGAAGAATTCGGCTAATGGGGAGATTACTGTATATACATCCTCAGAAGGGCACACTGAGGGTGTTTTCTTCCTTTTTATCATAAAATGCAATGAGAAGTAAAAGACAAATTTACTCATTCAGTTTCCACAAAGGAGAAGTATATGACAAGCAACACAAAATAATATGATTCTTATACAAGTCATAGTTCTCTGGTAACGAGCTTGTTAAATGTTCTAAAATAATTATTATACAAACTTACAGCTGAATCTTCTCTTCTGCATGTTTCTGGAACTCTACAAATTTCTCTTCTTGTTTTTGTAGTTTGTTTTCATAATCTGTGACGGCACCACGTAGAGTCTCCTCATTTCTTTTCAGTGTGTCTATAACTTGTTTTATTCTCTCATATTTCCTGCAATGACAAATATTCAGATTACATTTATGTACAGTTATTTGCAGTTTTACATGTCTAAATGTTATCAGTTACATACTTTTTCATTTACTCTTGGACAGGGTGTGTGTATTTACCCCAGTGAGAAGTCCGGCTCGCTCTCTCTCTGGCCCCGGTCTGGGGTAAATACACACGTCCTGTTCATGACAGACCCAGGACAAAAAAACAGTTCCTCTCTCTTTCAAACTATAAAATTGTATCAAGTTATTATATATTTTCATTAATTTCACTCTTACAATAGAATCCCACTGCTCTAATCGCTCTAAAAATTACCAAACTAAAAGCACTAGCCACTCGCATACAATTCCACCTGAATTATGATTGTAAATTCCTCGTTACGGTTCCACATAAAAAATATAGTCTGAAATAATGTACAGTACAGGGTAATTCATAAAACAGTAAATAGTTTATTTAAACAAAAACTTTGTGCCGTTAAGAAATGTAATAAATGAAAATCAATAATGCCACTACAGTAGTGAATAATATTTACCTGTGTACATCAGAGAATGCAACCTCAACATTGGCTAGGTCTTCTAGTGCCTGGTTTCTCTCTAACTCCAAAGCTTTTATTCTCTCCTCAGCACTCTGTTTCTCCTTCTCCTTCTCACTCACAAGTTGAGCAAGCATCCCCTTATACTGACCCACCATCTTCAACAACGCATCACGTGATTGCGTCAACTCGGCCATGGACTCTCCAAGGTTGGTTAGTTCCTTCTGTTCGTCCTTCATGGTTTGCCGTAATTTTTTTTCCTTCTCTCCAGCCGTCAGTTCTACCTGGAGGAGTTTTTCCTCAAACTTTAGCTCCTGATGTTTTAAGAGTTCTTGAACCTATAATGTGGGAAATGAATTATTTCTTATTCGATTAAGTAACGGATGTATACCTGTGGAGGAGGAGGAGAAAGTAAGGAAGACCAAAGAAATTAAAAGGAGAAGAGTATAAAAAATAAATACCCTGTAAATAAAAAATGCCTAATACAAGGGGACCAACTGGTTGTTTGACAAACATTATTAACTTGTTGATATCCTATAAAGTTTGATATATTCTATTTCTCTATATTTCATGCCTTGCCTTTGCTTTAAGATTCCATTTGTTGGTCCCATAAGACAGTGTGAATGCAGCACACTGTATACTAAGCCAAGCCTTCTGTAAACAAAGAAGCAGTGTGGACAGCACAATGCTCAATCACCCTGGGGCTGAACAAGCAACCATTAGAACAGGAGGAGAGTGCTGTATCCACACTTGGCCACTGCATGTTTTTGTCTTAACCACCCTTATTATGTACAGTACTCCTCTCATATATCTGTTGAGGCAATCTTTATTATATTTATATGTGAAAGCAAAATCCAACAACTAAATTAATTCTACCAAAAAACCGACAATGAAAATACAGAATTCACCAAAAATTGTCAGAGTCTTCACTATGGGCTGCCTTAGTCTGAATATAAAACTATAAATTTTTACTAATACCAGTGAAGGTGAGGAACACCCCTGCCAAACTTTCTAAGTTAAACGAGGCCGGAACTCTAGGAAATAAAGATGGAAAACTTTGGTTATCGTACTCAGCCTAGATAGTCATGGCATAATGCTGCCTACCTAATATCATGTTGATCCACGGAGCCTTTGACGTTAGTGAATGGAAACTTATTTTGCATGGACATATGGAGGGAAAGACAGAGGAACCCCTTGATCTGCCATACATGAAAGAGGGAGAGGAGTGAGGGTGATACAGCAGACAGTTTAAATTCACAATACAACATTAATATTCATTATGAGTTATTAGATATTTTATCCACATCACTTCTTCCTTTTCTCAACAACTAGATATTATTCACTCAACAGACAGTACAGCTGGCAACACAGTCATTAATTCCTGGGCATGGTAACTGAGCCAATATTTATCATTATATTTTTCTTTAAGTGGAAGTACAGTACCTGGAGACACACAGGGGAAGTTGTTTGGCCATAAACGTTTAAATTAGCTGATTACTGAAGTTTTACAATTCATAAAAAAAAACAATACTGTAACTGTTGAGAGTAATGTGACAACAGCTAATATTTACCAAACATTACACAATTATTGCTGCAGTCTGGTTTAGTTTCCTTCTTCTGCACACCATATAAAAATGCCTGCAACTCTTGCAAAGAATTCAACCAAAACAATGCTTCTTCTTTGTGATATCTTGTGTACTAATTAAATGTGGTACAGTATATACTCATTCTTTAATCTTAATGAATTCTTTATGACACACACATCTGAGGACAGTGAATGTGTGTGTGTTGTATCCTTGACTGGTGGGTGATTACTTAAGCAACCTTTCTTACCTCCAAAGATTAAAACATTCAAAGAAATATATCTTCTGTTGAATTCACATACTGGATAAAGACAATCAAATATGGAATTGATAAACTGTTTGCTTGGATTGTATTTTAAAGGAATGATTGTGTACTTGGCATAAAAAACATTTTGGGGAAATACAGTATTACCCCGCTTTACACGGTTTCACTTTCGCTACACGGTTTCACTTTCCGGGATTTCTCATTTACCCGGTACCTTGCCAGAACCGGACTTTCACTTTCCACAGTGCATCTACTCATATAATACGTATAATACGCGGTGAAGTGTAATTTTTTTTTTTTTTTAGCTCATAAAATTCATACAAATTACCCGGCCAGAATATAATTTACATTGCTGGAATTCTTACAATATGATGATCATTTTGAATATAAACATCATGGATTTTGCATTAGACATACAAATTTTAGATCTACTGTAATAATTTGGTTTACACAAAGCAAATATTTTATCCTTTGTGCAGAATATATGAAGTTTACATTCAAAATATTCCCTGACCTGCAAGGAATCCAGAAATGTCAATTATATTATCCTAACTTTAGTCTGAGGTATTATTTATTACTAAAAGTTAAAATCTAGTATTTTCACCCAACATTTCTCAGAGGTAGGAGCTAGTGAGCTGGGTAGAGGGGGGGGGGGGATTTGAGTCCATTATTTGAATGGACATTAACCTGGCGACTGTATTTCTCTTAAATATTAATTGTGTGAGCATACCATCATAAAATTTAGATGTTATTTTTACTACAACATAGGTATTGTGCCGGAAAAAGTGGAGTGTGGAGTTTGGGGGTCAGGCCAGTCTCTATTGGAATTAATCCCATATGTTCTGTTGTTCACTTTACGCGGTTTTCACTTTCCGCGGTACCCTGTGGGTTCAATTGACCGCACATAAATCAGGGTACTACTGTACTAGTCATAATGTACCTTGTATCTGAGAGTCCCGCACGCACGCACACACACACAGGTCTTGATACTCTCCTACAATAAAGATACTCTACTTGAGATGATTGATAATGCAGTCTATGAAATGACCTGTCCATCCTGTAGCAATGTGCATCACTGTCTATGGTAAAACAAGAGTACTGTACTGTATTTCTTCTACATTTCAACATGAAGTTTGAGTGGTTACCATGCAGCAGCCATAATGATTCAAAACCAAGAGTTGCTATAATAAACACGAAAGGGAGTGAAGGTGTCAGCAGGTGTAGCACTCATAACACATATCAACGCCATCTTTTCTGTTTCTCGTCACCTTCTTGCACCAGACAAACACTTCTCCACTTCTCTTGACTTATAAATACGGAGTAAAACTCCCCAAGAAGGCGTACCTCAGCAGCAGTCATATAACCCTCCGATGGGACGGAGGAAGGACGTGATGACGAGGGCTTGTGTTCGGAGGTATCACTGGGACGGGGCGTAGGACTGCTGGTCCCCTCTGGTGCTGATCTTTCCTCCCGCGGCGGAGCGGGAGAAGATGTGGACGGGGCGGGCTGAACACACAGAACAAAACGAAAATATAAATTAAATGACTGCTAACCCTTTTTTATGTTTATAATTACCTTTAGAAAGATTATTAAAATGTTTACATTAAGAATACTGTAACTTAATTAGAATTTATTATTTAAGAATTTATTTCGTGTAGTGTATTTCAGATGCATTTATAAACTAGAACCAAATTTTATGATTGCACTTCTGCTACAAGAACAGTTATTTACCATAACTTGCACACAGATGGACTATAGGTGTAGAGCTCAGCTGCTCACACAGGTGATGTAAGCAATTAGACACAACCTAGGTGGCAGTTCTTACAGAATTAACTTTTTTAGTGATAACTTTAAGGTTCCTATTTTTTCAAGGGTTGAAGTTTGAAATGTTTGATATATTCAAATGGTGGAAATCCTTACATTTAATAATACAACACCAATACTGTGCTCTCTAAGTTTTACACACAATGAGGTACAGTATCTCATCCTGACACAAAAGTTGAAGTCCAATGCCTTTTAAACGAGTTCTATATCTGGATAACTTCTGAGGACCAACAAAAAATATTACTGTTCAGACAATTGCCCTACATTTCAAACTGGCAGTTGATATGTACAATATATGTATTCTGACTCATTCTCCCTCACAGAGTCATAACATGGAGCATGAGTCAGATGTGTCCATTATACTCGATAAATAATGTGAATGCTTTAGAGAATGTTCGTTAATCTTTGACGGCAGCTGTCTTGTCACACTTGGGTACCCCAGTAAGGTGTTGTCAAAACAGTTACTCATGCAACCATAACTGGATCCTTCAATTTGCAAAAAAGAAAATAGTTTTTCTCCTGTCAGATAATTATTGCCATAAATGACAAAACAATCACTGAGTCATGAGCCAGACTGACCCCCCCCATCCCCTCTATGTGCTTGTTAACCTTCACTTGACAGCCATAACTGGAAAGTGAGAGAGAGGGAGCTGGAGAGGAGAGATGCCCCATTCACTCTTTCCTCCATAAGGATTTAATCTCGTATTCATGATTTTTGGTTTTGTATACGACCTGTGATCTACAAAAGCAAGCTGGAGGAAGGTATGGGGTAGAAGGAAAGCCTAAGAAAACTACACACCCAAGCATGAGAGATTTCCTTTGGGAGCACTGCACTAATAAGGAACTTGTGCACATAAGGAGCTGGTCCACTTTTTTTTTCTCTAGGAGTTTTACAATCTGAGTGGGAGTGTCTCTTGGGAGTTTCACAATCCGAGTGAGTGTAACACAAAATTTAAGCTCCAAGTCTACCTGCAGGTATAACTACTCTAAAAGCTCTCATTATTCTTCAAACATTTCCACATACACAACGAGCTCAAAATGGGTTCCTTAAATTCTGTAAGACAAGAACTTGGAAGCCAACGCACAGGCAAAAGGCCAAGTGGGGAGTATCTCTAATTGTTGAATAGGGTAGCAGGTGAAGTTTACAAGGAGGGTGTGGGCTGTAACTTGATGACTCCAGTTAATTAAAATGATACCAACACAACAGCCACCTTGAAGGAGATCCATTTTCTTTTTCATAAACCATTATTTTCAGTCACAGCCAGATTTAGTAAGAGTTTTGAGAGAACATTGCCACTTTATCCTTACAGTTCCCAGGTGGTTCTGTCTATAAGGGTTGATCAGCTCTTGAAATTATGGATCATTCACATGATTCTCAATCACAACAGCATAAGTTTTGGGTGGTTACACTAGGTGAAATAATGTCAGGGTAAACGGCCCCACAGTAAGGCCAGCTAGACACATACTGTAAGGTGCCACAGAAGTTAACAAAGAATGTTAGGCAAGTATAATGTTATATACAATAGGGAGATCAACAATACATAGCCACCCTGTACAGTGTATGACTATTACATGCATTTACAATGCACATTAAATACAGTAACTAGTGGTGATATAGGGACATTATATATTTTTTAAAGTTATTCTTTTCTTTATATTAACTCTGTTGTTCAGTTTATTCAGTGAAGACCCATTCAAGAATTAATGAAATCTATTAATCAAGAGCACAATCATGTCCGTCAAACATTATGTGGGGAAAAACTCACAATGATGGGTTTAATGAATTGTGTACAGTACTGTCCAACACGTCTGTATCTGTCTGACGTTACTTGACAGTCACACAATCACTACAAGAACACTGTGACTAATGTCAAGTAACACACAGCATCAAACTGAATGACCAATTAATGAAAACAATTACCTAATTTAAACTCAAATTTCAACATCTATATATTTTTCTTTTTCCTGTCTTAAAGTTTTAGGTCACCAAAGATTTTAGGGATGTCTGTTAAAATCTACAGCACCAGCTGAACAGTACTGTACCTATTTGATGCCTCTGAAAAATTACCATCAGCGAAATTGTCATGGTTTCCCATATTTAGTTTTGGCAACATTCTCAACAACTTATGAACGAGGGATTACTGTAATCCTCAAATCCCTTATTACATACAAAGGCCACAGCTTAACTCACAATACACACACACACATGACTGAAACACTATGTCAAAATTAAATATAAAAAAGTAGGAATTATTCATATGCTATTTTACATAACAAACACACTTAAAAAATTAGCATACTGTACTACTGTATATACTGTAATATATACAATCATGGAGGAGTTAGCAAGAGAACTACAGGCACTGATGTGTTATGAGGTGCAAGCAGAAGAAGGAATTAACTATTGCTTACATGAGGTTTAAAAATGTACTGCATTGTACTGTATAATTAAATACATTTAACAAATCAAATATGCATCATTGACCAAAGACGACCAAGTATATGATCTTAATAAGGGTCATACAATACAAATTAAGGGATACATACAGTATACTGTACAGGTACTAATAATTAAGTCTGAATCATAGCTATACAGTTAAATATGAGAGGTAATAGTTGTAATGAGAAGGTCAGAGTCAGTGCGAGATCAGTGGCAGATGGAACAACTTGGTTAACAACAGTACTGGGGTGTATATAAAAATAATGCAAAAAGTTATAACACTGTGATGATTAACATGGAGGATACAGCTGACATTTACAGTGTAGTAAGATGAGAGAGGTTATCATAAAAACTGTTGGAAGATCAAGGGAAACTTTAAAAAATACGTGAACGACCCGAATGTGGAAGTCAACAATATTAACTGGTAGATGCACGAGGGGGAAGACAAACAATAGTGCCCCCCAAAAAGTGTCAATAATTGCAAAAAAAAAAAACGAACAATCATAAGACTAGGCTGACAATACACTAGTGAGTGAAGAATGCCACGAATTTAAAAAAACAAGGAGGTACTGTTACGTAACTCACACAAAAACTGACCTTGTTCTGTGGAGACTCTGGCGTGATGGCTGGGTGATCCTTCTTGTCTCTCACGGGCACCACTTCATCTCCACTCAGTTTACTGTGACTGTCAGAACCAAGAAATAGCACATTAGCTTCTTTAAACACACACTGTACCTTGACTTAACTAATTGTAGAAGAAAAAGATAAACATCTTGTACAGTATCATAACAAGCTGGCCTATTGCAGTGTGCATCAAAGCTCACAGCACGAGGGTTTAGCACATACAGTACTCCATGGTAATTGTTATTAAAAAAATACCCTCACAATTGAAGCCTCTAGCAAAACAACCACACAAATTTTACAAAGATTTTCCTTGGTACAATTGGCCATTTTGCCTTCAAATTACAGTGGTGGTAGAATTATCAATACTTAAAAGATGACATCAGGCAAGAAGGCATAAATCTTTCTTTTTCCAGATAATCAAGAAATAGAAGATTAATTTTCCACATAAATACAGTAAATAAGAAATGCAAAATAATATCTTGTACTGTATACAATTCAATGATGCTACAAATACTGTACTGTATTTTATTGTTCTACTTGCTAGTATGTTTTCCTCTAATATGCAGTAGTACAGTATCTATCAACACACTTTATAACTACATAATGGACACACACTTTACTGTTAATTTTCCATCCAAATGACAGGTTATAAGTGTTCATTAAAATCTAACTACAGCATAGTATCGACTATAGTTTTGTGCAAATATCGGTGCAGTGTTGAGCATGCTACTAGAACAAGGCTAAGCTCTAATAGACTTTACATTTCACATAAAGTACCTGTAGAATAGATACACAGAGTTACCGTACAGTGAAACCTCCATATAACGTACTTCTCATCTAACTGACCCTCGATGTTACAGACTTTCACCTCTATATAGTTCGTGAGATGGAGGTTTCACATCTAACGGACCCTCGATATAATGTTCGTGAGATGGAGGTTTCACATCTAACGGACCCTCGATATAATGGACTTTCCTTTCCATATAGTCATTTAAATAGAGCTGCTGTATTCTGCTTTTATAATACAATGAGCATAAACAGTGAAATCTTGAACAATAACAAGATAACAACACCACAAAGGTCAGAGTTATGGAACCACTATGTGATGATTGAGAGTAATGCACAGTGAGACAATTTTCTTCTTGGGAGAGTATAATGTATAGTGGAACCACCTCAATCAATCAATCAAGGTGGTGTGTTATCTCCTCTAGTCTGAGGGTTGGTGACCACAGCCCACCTCTCAACATTCCCGGCCCATCTTTACCAAGCTCCTCAGATTTTGCGTGTCTCCGGGACCACCACAACTAATACTTTCGTTAATCCATCCCAGTCTCTGCCCTTCCCTGGCCCGCCCACCTTTATTATATGCAATAATATGTATCATTATATTATAATAATTTATTATACCCATTAATACCTAACCATTATCCACTCAAACCTTATTATATGGGTAAATAATACAATATTTACGTAACTCTAGTGTAAAAACACTTGTAGAAAACCAGACAAGACCTTATGAAGATGCTTATGAGCCGGAGTAAGATGTTAGCACTGTGACTTATGTCTCTAAATATGCTGACCTCTGATATAAAAAAAGGGACAAACACTGGGCAAATCATATCATGTTTCAATACACAGCTTTAAATACACATTTAAACAAGTCAATAGCCCACTTAAATACAGCATTAATGAATATATGATAATACTGTACATGCGATACAGAATGTTTAGTTTGGGCTTGGGTAGTTAGGACAATCTAACCTAACAATCTTTTTCTTTTCTATTTTTAATCTCTCGACTCTTATTTTTTCGCCCCCTGGGCCCCATTGTGGGTCGATGACCAGTGCCTGGGTGGGCTATTCCTCCAAAAAAAACCTAAGATATCCCAACCAAACCGTGAACCAAACATCCACTCACTGTAAACTTTTCATCCCAATACACCCAAGAAACTACAGTACAATACAGTAACCTACAGTACTTTACAGTAACCTACAATACAGTTTAACAAAATAACACACGAAGCACACAACCCCAAAATACAATAGAACATTCCTCTCCCTACAAACACAACAACACACTCACCACTACAATTTCAAAACCTACCTTATGGCTCAGAAACAAACCTCACATTACCTCACCTCCCACTCCCTAGGGTCAAGGTGCGTGTGTAATAAAAAGTATACTGGTAGTGGTATGTAGTAACTGGTATGAATGTGGTAACTGGTATGGGTATGTGGTAACTGGTATGGGTATGTGGTAACTGGTATGGGTATGTGGTAACAGGTATAGGCATGTGGTAACTGGTATGAATGTGGTAACTGGTATGGGTATGTGGTAACTGGTATAGGCATGTTGTAACTGGTATGGGTATGTGGTAACTGGTATGGGTATGTGGTAACTGGTATGGGTATGTGGTAACTGGTAGAGGCATGTTGTAACTGGTTTGGGTATGTGGTAACTGGTATAGGCATGTGGTAACTGGTATAGGTACGTGGTAACTAGTGTGGGTATGTGGTAAATGGTGTGGGTATGTGGTACGTGGTATAGGTGTGTGGTAACTGGTATGAATATGTGGTAACTGGTATAGGTATGTGGTAACTGGTATGGGTATGTGGTAAATGGTGTGGGTATGTGGTAAGTGGCATAGGTGTGTGGTAACTGGTATAATCATGTGGTATCTGGTATGGATATGTGGTAACTGGTATAATCATGTGGTAACTGGTATGAATATGTGGTAACTGGTATGGGTATGTGGTAACTGGTATAAGCATGTTGTAACTGGTATGAATGTAGTAACTGGTATGGATATGTGGTAACTTGTATAGGCATGTTGTAACTGGTATGGGTATGTGGTAACTGGTATGGGTATGTGGTAACTGGTATGGGTATGTGGTAACTGGTATGGGTATGTGGTAACTGGTATGGGTATGTGGTAACTGAATGTGGTATGGGGGTATGTGGTAACTGGTATAGGCATGTAACTGGTATGGGTATGTGGTAACTGGTATGGGTATGTGGTAACTGGTATGGGTATGTGGGAAGTGGTATGGGTGTGTGGTAAGTGGTATGGGTGTGTGGTAAGTGGTATGGGTATGTGGTAAGTGGCATAGGTATGTGGAAACTAGTATAGGCATGTTGTAACTGGTATGAATATGTGGTAAATGGTATAGGCATGTGGTAACTGGTATAAGCATGTGGTAACTGGTATGGGTATGTGGCCACTGGTATGGGTATGTGGCCACTGGTATGGGTATGTGGCCACTGGTATGGGTATGTGGCCACTGGTATGGGTATGTGGTAATTGGTATGGATAAGTGGTAACTGGTATGGGCAGGTGGTAACTGGTATGGATATGTGGTAAGTGGTATAGGTATGTGGTAACTAGTATAGGTATTTACTAACTGGTATGGGAATGTGGTAAATTTTTAATTAATCAGGACAAATCATATAATTAAGCAACAAATTCACACAAATTAGTGGATAAACAATAAAAACAAATCCCAAACAGAAGACAGTTAAGATGTAAACACAAAACAAAAGATAATTAAGGTATAAATAAAACAAATAAAGAACCTGTGGTGTGTGAGGGGCGCCTTCTGTGTCTGTGAGCAGCAGGAGGTGGTGGTAGTGATACTAGTGGTTAAGTCAGAACTACTCCAGGTTTTCTTAGGTCGTTTACGTTTCCAGGAGGACATGTACGACGCCACAATAATGTACACCACACCTAGACCCACTGCCAGGACGTAGGGCATGACGTGGCTGTTAGTACGCCCACCGTGAGCTCCCTTCACGCACATACTGACCATCAAGGTGACGACTGTGAACCCGTGACGGAACAATCTCATTTTGATTCTTGTTTTTTATCCGCCAACGACGACCCTCTCATACACGACCCATGCACTGTGACTCTTGCCCACCAACGACACAACAACGGCGACGCACTCATACAAGACCCATGCACTGTGACTGTTTCCTGTCAGCCAACGACACGACGACGGACGAGGGGGGGAGGGTTTAGCTACTAACTCGATGTTTACAACTCACGTGGTTATCTGTCACTAATATTTGTTTTTAAATTAACTGTAGTGGACGATTACTAATCTAAGATACAGCTGATTTATTTATATATTGGTGTAACCAAGAGAACCAGTGACATGGATATTGATAATGATATGATCTGTTTATAAAACACAAACTTTTGTTATTTGTGGCTCTTGGGTGTTACGTGTCACGACTAATACTCCTCGCCAAGCTCTCACTGGAGGTAACGTTATCACTAGTGTTACGAGGCCCAGCACCGCTCACCACCACAGCCGTCACTGTAAGTCACTTGTATGGTGATTATGCACTTGTAAGGTGAATTCGCTTTTGCAAGGTTTCTACAGTGGCAGTCCCCGCCTCACACCCACTGTTCGATGTCCACACCACTCACTTTGATAACACAATCGTAAGGGGCATTTCCTCTTACAATCTCGGAACAAAGCACCAACTTTTTAACGTCACAAAACTGCGGTTACACTACGGAGGCGGCAACAATACCCGCCCAGTCTAAATTTCACTAGACTATTATGTATAAGGATGAGGAGGCGAGAGACAAGGTCATTTGTAAAGTAACCCTGCAGAAACTAATACTCGTGCTTGGTAAGGTGTGTGTGTGTGGAGGGGTATGGTCCCATACAAACACTAGCGCTGCAGTGACAGTATTACGAGATGAGGCGGGGGAGCGTTACGTTGGCATGTGGCCTATGTGGAGGCTACAGCCAAGTCTGAGGTGGTGGTGCAAGAAGACGAGGAGGGGACCACTGCGGCAAGACTTCACACACACACACACACTCCAAACACGGCAACGTCTGTTGCTTTGATGGATCTCCACCAATCTCGCTAATTATCATAAACCTTCACCTGCCTCACAACAAACACCTCACGGTAATCGACGTACTGATAAGCATTTTACAGCATTTACATTCACGAGTCCATGAAACTCATCCGTCGAACAGTGGATGAGTGAGAATTATACCTCCAGCGAGTGTCAGGTTCACTATCTAAGAGGATATGATGATG